GATGACTAAAAAAAAAATAATAATCAGACTCAGACTTGTTGCACGTCCCTGTGTTTAATCAGAAAGTCATTGGTTCAATCCCCGCCTCCCCGATCTGCTCCCTGCAGCACACTCCCCGAGCTGTTAAACTGTGACTGAATGTGTTGATTTGGGCCTTTTTCTTGGTGACAGATGAGTCATTTAGATGCGTTTCTGCTGGGATTTTGTCGGTTTGGAATAAAGCCGGCAGCGCTCAGCCTGCAAAGAGCACGGAAGCGTAACGAGCCTCCTGGGAGCTCAGTTTGTGTACACCGATCAGCTCGCGCTTTCTGCTTCCTGAAAACTCCGTCTACGGTTGTGACTGAGCCTGGAGAATTGGAAAGGGAGGACAACAGGCTTGGTGCTCTTGTTACACTGGGGGCGATCCAATAAGGGCCGTCTTTCTGCGGCCCTTTAAAATTGATCGCTCAGAATAACGACCGGATTAAATTTTAATAAGCAGTTATTGGCTGTTTCATAGTTCTGATTGGTGGGAAAGCAATTTGTCTCAAACTGCATATTCTATCCTGCTTACGTCTACAGTTCTGCTGTAAGAACTACTAACTTGGTTTGTGCCGTAAACCTGCATTTGATCAGGTTTAATCAGCAACAAATTGATGTATTTAATGCATAAAATAAGCAACTTCCTATTAAACCTAATAGAAAGTGGAGAGATGTGCAAGAAATAATTCAGACTGACTAACATATTTCATCTCAAGTCATTCAAAGCAGTTAACAGTGAAGAATACATGGCTGTCAGTCTGGATTTCCTTCTGAAGAATGAAGCTAAACGCTTCTCTTGTACTTTTCTGATTGGCAGCATGCACATTTCCGGTGCTGGAAATTCTCCAAAGGTAAGGCAGTAAACAGATTGTCTGAACCCGTGACTTATCCAGTACTCATTTCCCTTCTGGGCAGGGGCTTTGGGGAAAAGCAGGCTTTGGGATAAAAGACGAAATATACTCGTGGAAGGCAGATCTTGTCCTGCGGAGGTAAAGCCAGGCTGAGGTGTGAAATCTGGTGAGCAATTGCTTCGGATATAAATTTCCCCCCTGAGCTCCGGTGTATGTCAGCGAGAAGTGACAGCTCAGCCGCTGACAATCACTCGTCACAGCGGCGCTGGGGGAAGGGTCGGGTATTTTTATCTCCGTTTATATAGTTTTCTGGGGGAAAATGGAAAGGAAGAAACAAAAGAAATCAAGGTTTCATAGTTCAAACTCTGATCCTGTGGGGAGAGTGTTGCCTCTAGGAAACCAACAGGAAGCCAGACATCAATATCGTTTTCCCTGAGGCACGGTGTGCCAAGACAGAAAAGCTGTTTTTTTGTTTTGTTTGTTTTTTGCTTTTTTAAACCAAAGGAAAGTGAAAAACTTTAGCAAAATATTCAGATATGGAGAAAGTTCACCAGATTCATTTTTATTCTCATCATACCCTGAGGTTAAAGGCAGACAGGAAGATCACTTCAAGACTGACAAGTATTCAGTTTCAGAGTGTTTTGATGAGTCATACATAACTGCCTCCAAGGAAAAATGACTCAACTGATCATTGTGGAGAAAAAAATATATTTTGTTTTTACCAAAAACCTTGGCTGAATGAACACAAACTGTACCAGGACAGAGTGCACACAGAAAGTGAGAGAGAGAGCTGTTCAATGATTAAAAATACTAAGAAATGTCAATGTTAGCATTACAGCTAAATAAATACAGAGATCTAACCACACAACCAGACAATCATAGGAAATAAGTCATAAGGTTCTTATCCTTTTCTCCCTGAACGCTCTGAACAGTTAGGCAGACGTTACTTGCAGGTGCTGGCTGTTAATTCATAGCCTCTCATATGCTGTAAAACTGTCAATACGCACATTTCAGATTCCACATGCCTATGTGCACAAACACATGCTACAATATATTGTTATAGAACGACACCACAGCTTTCACATCAAAATAAATACTGTCTTCGTGGCAAGACAGCTAGTTCAAGCTAACGCGACAAAATGCTAATTCATTGCTTAGAGTTAGCATCATTGCTTATAAGAGACTTAAGCAAATAAAGATAAACTAAACCTATATGCTCATCATGTATTAAGCATTTATTTCCTATGCTTGTATTTATAGTAACTGTAGGCAGATGAAAAGCTTTAGCCACTCAACTTCTTGCGGCCAGCTAACTCACTCTTTGGTTACCTAGCAACAACCTGTTGACAAACTTGCACAGCAGCAGTTTCAGGTTACGCCTCATATTCACTTAAAATAATAATAATAAAAAAAAAACACCAGTTTGGCAGTATTTCAGACAACTAAAACAAAAACTAATCAATAATTATTGATAGACTGATATGAATAGCTTATATCATGATATGTTATTCAGCCATATCATCCAGCCCTTTCTCTAACTGCATTAAATTCTTCTATACCCTTTGAGTTTACATTAGCTTTTATCATTTTTTTTAAGTTCTGTGTTATTTCTCTTCAATAATTATTAAACTAGTTAATTTTTTTTCCACGTCACAGATGTAGTGGTTGCATAACGGAGTTTAAATCTATAGCCTACGTACAGCATCTGGTTTTACAACCAAGGTCACACAGGTAATCAATACCAAAAAATAACAAATTCTAATGTACAACCTTGCAAAAAAGCAAATGATACACGTACAACTGCAAGCCGCAGCAACAGGATATAATGGTTTGGCAAACATGAAGATGCAGGCATCAATCACCAGTCGGTTTTAATTACATCATCACTCTGCTTCCACATCGTGTTCACTGTATAATACAGCTTGATATCCATTGTCTAGGAAATCCTGCAACATGTCGTCAGGTTTGCTGAAGTGTTCAAACAGAGCTGCTCTAATTGAAAGCAGAAAGAAGAAAAGACGTCAAAAACTTGACACACGTCTGATTGTATTTTTTTTTGTCTTTTCCGCCTCATGCTGTTCTGGCCGTTGCTGAAATCTCAGTACAAGTAAAAGCCGGAGAATGTCACCGCATCGGTCGACTTCTTCCAACCTCTCTTAATGTCAGTCCTTACAATTTTGTTTTTGACAGGTTTAAATCAGCATCGCACCTGCTCAACAAGCTGGAGGCAGGAGGTTTTGCAGCTCCAATAACCAAATTGCACTTTGTCATGTCTGCCTTGCATTTCAAATTTATAGGGAAACTAAGTTTAGAATGCTCCAACAATGCCTTTACTCCCTGGGTTTAACTTATGAAACCCAAACTGAAACTGTTGCTCTTCGTTTTGTGGCACGATGGAAGAAAAATTAGAGTGGAAATAGAACACCAACTTTTTCTGCACAGCAACCATGTCTTTAGTTAAGAGACGTGGTTCAGCTGGAGAGTTTATGGCCTGCTGATTCCCCGACTCAGGCCACATAAAGCCAGAACGCCAGTCGGCTGATTTATAGCAAAAACAAACTCCAAATGTAGATCACTTTGTTCTGGGATGAAACAAAAACAGATGCTAATAATACTATGTAGTGCAAAACCTCATAACACCCTAAATTACATGCAGTTTTATCACGCTGTAATATAATTGTTTGTGCAACTGGGGCCAAAGTTGTAAAGTTGAAAATACCCACGGGCCACAACGAATATTTTTATCACTTAAAACCACACACACAAAAAAAAAAAGTGTGTGACTTATTTGGCTTCTGCTCAACAATAAAATAAACTAAAACATTTTTTTTAATAAATTTAATAAATTCTCCTTTTGTGTAAAAGTCACTAGATGTTTATAATGGTATGAACAATGGAGTTAAAGTAGAACCAAACAATGTGCATGTAATTCACATTTTTGGTTTTAAAAAGGACTTACTCAACAGTAAAATAAAAATGCTTCTGCATCAACTCTAAATTTGTACTGTTGTAAAATCATAGTCACAGGCCACATAAACTCACTCCAAGTGTATCAAATAGCCCATAAGTCACACTTTGACACTCGTGATATAAAATCACAAGTCTGTCTAGAGAGTTGGTAATAGCATAAACTAAGTCCTTAAAAATGTCAAAATAAAACTCCAGAGCCTGCTATATTCACAATTATATGCCACCACTAAAGATTTTTTTTACACAAGTGTTGCTCAAATGTCGCAGCAAAGACCCAACAATACAGTTTTCCAATCTCATGCTCAACTATGCAAACACTTTGTCTGCGTTGATGAAGGTTCATTGGCATATCTGAGTTTTAAAACACCAGTTGATCCTTGTGTATATTAAAACAAGATACTGTAATCAAAAAAGTAGAAACAAAGCTGATGTTTTCACACCTTAATTTCTTCATGTTTAGAGCTATGCAAAACATTTTGTGATACGGTAACATACATGGCAGCACAGGAACCAGAATGACAGCGGTTTAAGTTTCCTCTTGCTTCCCATGTCCTTATACCATTACAAACCTCCGTCTTCAGTAAGCTCATGCTTTCTGAATCCTCAATTTTTCCAAAATACTGTCCAGAAAACAGACAGCATACACTTAATAGTAAGAGACATAAAGCACATAGGCAACAGAAGGATAACAGTAAGTAGGCGACTCATTCACTGAATACAATAAAGCAAAATGTGATGTTTTACATTCCAGTCTTAACATTAATAATTTAACAGTACAGTAAGTAGAGTCGCTTGATGTGACAAAAACGCTCACAGATCTCTCCCCAAACATCGGAGGCTCGAAGACTCTCAGTTTGATCAGCTCACTTTTACTACATTTTATATTTTTATTTTATTTTTATGCATCAGCATCATTAACAGTACATCACAGTGCACTCTGGAGTGTTTGCTCTTAAACTTGTTCTGCTGATTGAATCTGATAATGAAAAGCAACCAGAAAAGCTAATGAAGAAACATGTTAGGGACACAATGTTAATACACATTGCCATGATTGAAAGGACTTTTTTTTGCCTCCTCCTGTGCTTGGGTTATTCTCTTGCGCATCATCTCGGCACAGACACCAGCAGCCACAGCAACACTGATCGATTCTGTCCTCACCTGTCAATGTCGCCCTGCATCTCTTTGCTCCCTCTCTGGGCAATCTCCCGAGGAGAAGCCACATCCGAGGATCGGCCTGCCGTCCGTCCGTACAGGTGGAGCCCACTGTCGGTTAGGTATCTGCAAATGGACAATTCTTTAGTAATTGAAATATTAAAACCAAAACAATGGCTCGAGCCGTTCTATATCGTGTTTTATCAAGCTATAGAATGATGTGCTTTATCCATTCAAAATTAGTTTTGATGTGTGTTTGGGTTCATTGTTCTGTTGGAAAACCCAAATGTGTTAAGTTTTTAAAATGGAAAGCCTCAACTTGACTTCTTCAAGCATACTTTTAAAGATTGAGGTCAGTGAGTCTTTCTTCAGAAGGTGGTTGGATTGTCCATGTGTGGAAATGCATTTTATTTGTGGAGCCAGAAGGCATCAAAGCTTGTAAGGTGCTTCATTAATGATGGGCTCCATCTTTTAGTCAAATGTGATGCAAGACCTGCTTTACAAGTCCAGTGATTTCCAGTCACATGCAGGGTGAGGTTTTGCTGAATTTTGGGTTAGCACCTGCCAAAGAATCTCTCTTCATCATAAAGACGACGACTTGGGGTCAGAAGTTTGAAACTTGGACAAAACCATTTGATCAAATGTTCCAGCCATGTGGAAGTGAGTAAATGTGGGATCGGAATAGGTTTCACGCATCTCTTGACTTTTTTTTTTTTACATAGTAATCAATGAAGGCCACTAGCTGGAGAGGCACTATAATGCTTTTAGCAAAACTTGTCCCTTTTCTTATTGAGGTAATTTGTCAGCTTATCAAGAGCCAGCAACGTCTGCGGAAATGCATCATCTGAATATTCCCGTTGAAGGCTTGAAGAACCAAAGACAGCCTTGGTGGATGACAGCAGCTTATTTGTATTGATGTGAAAAGTGAGGCCTTGGGTTGCCGTTTAAATAGCCAGCTAAACATGAATGAATTTCTGAGTTCTGTTTGGACAAAGGCAATATGAAAACGGCTGAATGAAAATGAGTCATGTCACTTGTCAAAAAGACCTTGAGAGCAGTGTTAAACTACTCAACTACGTAGAGATTCTGCCGCAGTGACAGAGATCCCCCTCCCCCCGCTCCCAAATATCTGTAGCCTCTTTCTATTCTCTCTCTTTTTCATCCAAGTGTCCATTACATTTCAAATGAACCCAAAGCAATTTCTAATAAAGTTTTATAAGTCATTGCATAAGAAGAAAAAAAAAAGAATGTTACAAATTCACGATTTTTCCATAAATGATTAACACACCTGGAGGGGTCTGAGTGGCCGCTGTATCGGCCCGTGCTGGGGGCGGCGCCCGCTGTGCTGGACCTGGGCGCAGGATATCCGCTGGGCATGGAGGGGGCTTCGCCTGCCTGGAGACGTGGGGTTTGAGACTGGCCAAGACGCCAGGCCATGGGGGAGGAGCGAGCAGCGAGGGCGGGGAGACTCCGCCCGTTCACCTCGGTCGTCACTGTGGCGTCGAAGGTTGTTTCTAACGTACTGCGCAAAGAGAAGGGTAAAAAAATTAAATATAAACTTATTGCAGCAAAGTAACAGAACATGTAACTGATTCATCAACTAATACTTAAACATTGACGTGTTAAGGGCTGATCAAATGTTCAACAGCAGAGTCTCAGTTGCCTTTAGTGCCATTAGGGTGTATATCAGGCAACCACAATACAATATTCTTTTTCTTTCACTTTTAAAATTCACGGAGAAATTGATAATTAAAGCACCTTATTATAGAAAACACACAATGGCTTAAATGCATAAACACAAACTCCCCATCGAATTTGACTGAGCTTGAGCTTTTTCACAAAGAAAAACTGGCAAGAAATTCAGTCCCTATTGAAAAACTGGTAAACATATCTCTAAAGACTTATGATTTAAATTAAAACATTTACTGAGATCTACAATTTGCATAAACAGGCTCCAAACAAAGATGAATTATTGCAAGTGTACAGGGAAAGCTATTTATTCCCCATGTAGCCTCTTTTCACTGATGGCAAACGTTGCCAGCTGTGGTACCTTGTTGGAGCGCTCTCTGCTGGAAACAATGGTGCACTGCATGCTTTTAATAAAATAATCCAGAGATGCACTGATTTGAATCTTCGGGAAAGATCTTCTATTTTTCTAATCAAATCACAAGGATTATTGCAAATCTGTTGTGTTAGATGAAAACATATTCCTATAGAAACAGGATTGTGGTTTTGACTCATTTCCAGCAAGAAACCACCTAAAAAAGACTGAGTCCAGAAACACTCTCTTAGCATTTCCTGCAGTATTTTCATATCTTAATTGTTGGATGATTCGTCTTTGTGAGTGGGAGGAAAAGCCTATTTGAAATCCTGTTTCAGTAGACTGGTCGTCATTATGTGGCAAAAACGAATGCCATCTTAACGCAGTGTCTCAAAGACAGCAGGGAGAGGTGTGAGAACAGCTCTGTGTGTGCGTGAGTGTGTGTGTGTGTTGGCGAGAAAGGAGAGAACACTGCACCACACACTCTAAAGCCAAGTGCCAACATGAGAAGGGCAGCAATGCCAGCCATGTTCATGACTAATCTCTAACAACACCCTCTGAGGCTGCTGCACACACAATGACACAGGCAATCAATTCCAGGCAATTGCAGACTTTCAGCAATCAATTAGCCACCATCTAAATCAGAATCACTTAGCTGTTGATAATGCAGGTTGCTAAATCAGCTTATCCGTATCTGAGACAGCAGCAGCAGAGAGAATGATCAGAATGATAAACGGAACGACAGAAAGCAAAAAGAAACAGTACCTGGTCTTCTGAGGAAAGTTTCCTTGAAATGACAGTGAAGATTATGGCTTTTTTTTTTTTTTGTTTAAATTACGCAAAACTGGGCTCATAAATAAAACCTAAGTTAACGAATATCTAATTGTATTTAAAATGTGTTTCACATTGAATTCATGGTCCTAATTGAACCTGTGGGTTAAAAAAATGTCAAATTTTCAAAATTGGCAAATACTTCACCGTCCACAGAAAGATCTAAATATACTTCAAATGTCTTTTTATGAATTAGAAAGTGTTAATTTATACGCAACCAACCAATTATTAAAAGCATAAATGCTTCTAAATTCTGAGTAACTAAAATTCAGTAGAGGGACTAATCATTTTAAATGAAAAAAATTGTTTTATGAAAGCCAAAGCAAATAGGGATGTATGGATTGCGGTGTACCTGAAGATGCACAATAAAGGGATTGATTACAGCTGCAGCATGGAGCACACGCACAGGATGTGCTGCTGTGGTTCGGCTGTTGACTGGCTTTGACGGGTTCCAGCTAACCTGCGCTGGTCCAGACAACAAACGGGTGTGGTCTGCTGTGTAGCTCCAGCCCTCGTGCAGTTGTGTTCATAAAAGTCGAAACCAAACACCATAAAGCATTTAAGAATACTTAAATCCTTTGGTCAGTGCAACTGTTGGTTACTATGGAGACTGAATGCAATGACGTGGACAGAAATCGCTAACCAAGAGGTCACTGATTTCACAGGTAACCTCCAGTGATGGTTTGGTGTCAAGAGATTTGACCAAGTGCTGCTTCCCTCCTGAGGGCTGTTCTCACATCTGAAGGAAGTCTTACCTTCCTCAACATCCTCTGGAGAAGAAAAACTCAATTTCACTTTATTGCATATTCTGATATATTTATCAAATGACTATAGACTTCTAGTGAAATATAATTACATAACCTTAACCCGCTCTAAATCAAAACCACATTTTCCAGAGAGCTGGCACCTTTCCTTTCCATCTCTGCTTCACTCAGGCATTGGGTGTCACACACAACTATAAGTAAAAAAGATAAACCTCAGTGGGGATTATTTTGTGCTTTGCCATGAGCTCAGTTGGAGAAGAATGCCTGTTGACAGCAGGGGGAAGTGTATTGCTGAGCAATTCTAAATATAAATACACCGTCTCCTACCGCTGCTAATGAACGCTCGATATACCAGTCAGTTCTTGGATGGGTTAATTCAATTCATGGGCATTGTTTGAAGATTCTATCTCCAGAGCAATTTGTCACATGTATTGAGCTATTGCCATGTTCAATATTAGTCACAGTGGCAGCTCTAAGCTCCAAATATCTATTGGCGAAACATTCAGTACAATATTCCGCTCTGTAGGGAGCATAGAAACATCAGGTTCGACCTTTTTACCTGAACTGACGGTTGTTAACCAGGTCACTTCAAAATGTTCTTAAATCCAGCCAAGATGGTGAGTCATTCCTTATACTTAACATCCTGCCGTCTCCAAAATATGAACGTTTTAATGGCCTCGACAGTTGAGTTCAAGACGAACTTTTACTGAATGCCTGTCAATATTCGTTTAACACCCTTTTAATGAAAATGTCTAATACGTTAAAAGATTCAGATCCATTGGTTGCATGTTCAAATATGAATTGTGTTAAATCATGTCTAAATGAGTTCTGGTTTTTAAGAGATTAAGAGACTGACTGCTTTTTGATTAATTACAAGACTGACTTGTTTATGAACTTTAGTACTTTACGATAGCTTAATTGTGCAATATAACCGAGTCGGACCTTCTCAGGTTTTAGAGCCTCTACGGTCAGTTTCCCATACATGCACACATGGAGGTGTCAGAACAGTCAAGTCACTTTCCATCTACCATTACAGACTGAAAACTCATCTTCTCCAGAGGTGGCTCTGATTGCCTTCATCACGTTGAATCATACCACTTTACTTCTCAGAATGGCAATTCTGACGAGAACATTGTGAAACGTTGAGAAGTGCCTCCGACTCTGACCCACTATTACCACCAGGCGCATGTCATTTGGTAGTTTCAGGGCCACAGTGATTGTAGATTGCTTTGTGTGGCGGATAATACTCTGTAAAAATTTCATACATGTACTCGACCTACACAAACAGCCATCTCGTCAATTCCAGAGCCGTGTGTCTGCTCCCCTGGTGTAAACACAAAGTAAACCCGACCCAGTAAAACTATTATGTTCAGAGTGTCCTGCAGCGGCTGCTGAACCCTCGAAGGAGTAGGAACATGGATAGCTTTTGTTGTTGTGCTGGGTTCACCGTCAAGGAACAGTCCGTCTTCAATCACTTCTTCCTCCCCATGTCGATCAGCAACATGGGCTGAAATACCGGTCATAAGAAAAGTAAAGACAGTTGAGTGGATTTTCTTGTTGCAAAATATATGCGATTTTGAATTAACCCTTTAAAACATAATGCAAGAGAGGTTAGATTATTGGATGCTTTTGATAAAAATGCTTATCTAAATAAAGATAGTTTATCCCGTGGCTAGTACTTGCCACCTGCAGCACTTAGATTATCCACCAGAGTGCATAGGATGTGTGTAGCCTTCAATACAGCGAGTCTTTGAGGGCGGCACTAGTTTAGTTAACTAAGGCCTCAAAAATGACACATCTTAAATCCCATTTTTAAGTGGTTAGCTTCTAGGTAAACTACAACTACTATTGATTCATCATTTTATTTGTTAGCTTAACCAAATGATTTCCAAAATTATGGAAAAATTAGCTATTTTTAAAAGTGAAGGACATTGCCTTATCCTACATTTCTTGTGAATTCAAGATTAAAAACATATTTTAAAATATCCCACTAGAACCACACACCAAACCACAGCACATATAAAAACAACACTGGAAAAAAATAAAGTTGGATAAATAATCTTAGAGCTGACTGGTTTTTTCACCTTCCACTCCACATAATCTCAAGATGACTGTAGTGGTTTTAATCAATCACAAATCAAAACCAAAGCGTTTCCTTTTATTCTCCTTGGACTTAGTCAAGGAAGGAGGCTTTCTCTAACAACACTTGGTGCTAACCTGGTCACGTCGCTGTGAGCAAACATTTCTGCAGCCCACATGCAGAACCTCTTAGCTGCAGGGCTACAGGCCACTCCACACAGGAGGATTTCATATGCCATCTTTAGCTGCTGCTCTGCTAACCAAGCAGCCATGTGTGAGGTCATCGCCTTGTTGCCGTGATACGCCACACTGAGGCTCCGTTGTTGTGTCTGTTGTATGCTCATGGGACTTTAAAAGTATAAGAGGGCTGCATTAATATAAGCTTGCTTTATTTTGGTGAACATCACTGATGTTACACACACCAGGTCCTGCAGCACCGAACAGGATGTAAAAATATACATGGATGGTTGATCAACGGATGGCTGTGTGGATGACTGGATGGACGGACGAACGGCTGGTCGGATGGTTCAATGATTACTACATAGTCATGATAATTTATGTTTGTCTCACTTATTCAGTGTCTTTGCTAGAGTTGGGTAGTAATTTACACGTGTAGCCTTTGGAAAAAAAATACCTTTAACTGTGCTGTACATTTTACTTTTACTTCAGTAATTTCATTATGAAGTATTGTTACTTTTACTTGAGTAAAATTTCTGGATACTCTACCCACTGTGAATAAAGTCACTGAACGAAAAACAATCTTGGTTAGACTAAATATTCACCAGACACACATCTGCAACTTTTGTTAACGTTTCATAAGTATATTGAAATAAACTGATGTGAAACAGTTTGGTTTCACTATAATTTTGCTGTTTTGTAATCATGTTATTCATATGAATTATTTTTATTTTGGTCTTTAAAATACCAACATTTCTACCTAATTTTGCATTTTGGTGGTGATGTAATTTTTAAATATTAAATGATTGAGCATCTGGTTTGATCAGTTAACCCAGTACTTCAGCAGCCTTTATACCAAATACTTTTTGGTATAAAATATTTGGTACTTTATATCAAAAAGTATAAAGCACAGCTACTTTTTACTTTTACTTCAGTAAAAATATCCAGAAGTACTGCTACTCTTACGCGAGTACAGTTTTAGGGTACTCTACATACCTCTGGACTTTACATAAAGCCAGAGGTGAGTAAGGTGAGTAATATCTTGATAGGCTTCGTCCTTTTCATACTTTGTCCTCTGGTAGCTGGTATGTAAACTGGTACAAAGAGGAAATATCAAAGAAGAAGCAGGTGAGACGACAGAACTGAAACCTAACAAAAATGGCCTCATGGTGATGATGGCCATTTTTAATCCTGTGCAGCGATCAAGGTGGCCTGACCGGCCTTTTTCAAAACTGAGCTCCTTCCTTATATAAAAGCTACGCTCAGAAATCTGGCTCAAGCAGCTAATAATCATTCGCCAGATACTTCATACGCAGTGCTCTGGTGCCACTGATGCATATAAATGAGAAGTCCCTCCTAAGGCTTTTCAAATACTTCGCACCCCAAACCTCCAGGTCCCATTAAACACAGAGGTAATACAATGGCACTATATATATATTGATCTTTCTCTGGCTGAGACTCTGCGGCGCGGAAAACCCAACACACACTCGTGCGCACACACAGCCACAGACTACCATCTGTCATGGCTGTCGGCAGCCTGGCCACCATCTTCCTCTCTAAATGGGGCAAAAACGCAGAAAATAATAGACTGAGGGAGGAGAGGAGCAAGACGGGGAGTGAACCATTGATCAGGAGGCTGACAAATACTAATGGTTATCATTTGGTCTTTTCCCAAGATGCAATCTTTGCACCTTATGTTCTTAAATTCTCCATGAGGCCAAAGACTCGGTTTATGTAGATATCAGGTCTTGGAGGTCAAGATTTGCAGACGGTTAAGAAAGAAGAAACCCTCTTCTTTTCTCTTCATTAAACACGGAAGAGAGACCGGCATGGCAAGCTAAGGACAGGTCTGCATCCGACTAAGACAATTGGAGTGCGACTTGTATTTATTTGAGGAATTTTGCTGATTTTAACACAATTTTTGTTCTACTCAAGTACAACTTAAACATTTCTTATCTGTCATGACCAGAGGTAAGTCGCACATATTGCTTTAAACCATTCAGTCATTAAGAGACCATATTTGTCCCTTTTTTTTTTATTATCGCTGCAGCACATTATCACTTCCTACACGCTGAAGCAGATCTCACTCATGTTTAGCATTTACAAAAGATCAGATGTATTTAAGTAGCTGACTGCAGCCGACAGCTGCTTTCAGTGCCAAACATCTAAAAACTCAGTGTAGGCTTTCGACTACTAACCAAAGACGAGGCGTGAGGAGGAATTAAGATGTTTGTCACCACCTCTAAGCATGAGTCACTTTTCTTTTATTACAGAACAAAGCCTAAAATAAGAGCATGACTCTAGAGAATTTTTGTAAAAACAAAGGCCTAAAAGTAAAATTATACAGCTGCAGAACTAGTTGGTTTTCTTACAACAAAGAGAACAAGAAAACAATTAATATGAGGAAAACAAAGAATTGTGGACCATGAAACATCCTTTGGCTTGAAATCTTTAAGGCATGCAATTCAATAATGAAAAACTATATTTTTTATTAATCAATTCTCAACAATTCTCATATAGCTACATGCTACTTCCTGTATTAGTAATCACCCTCTCTAAATCTCCTCGTCTACTCAGTTCTTTGTCAGATCCTTGCATTTTATTTCTGGATTCCTTAGCGGTTCATTCACCCGTTTTCTTCTTTTTTTGATTTTTTAACTTTAGGACTTAGTCTACTGTTGGTTTTGCTTTCCTTATTTCCCTGTGTCGGACTTGGCTTACCATTGACTTATTTTCTTTGAACGATCCTTCCTGCTTCCTTCCCACATTTTGGTCCAAGCCCACAATGTAAACAGAACTGGTTCAGAACATGGAGCTGATTGGAGCCCAGATAGAATAGATGACAACCATAAAACAACCTCTTAAAGTTTGTGGATCCCACATTTATCCAATTATTCACATTCAATTCTTGCTTCTTTTAAGACCAATTTAACCCGTGGCTCTCCTCCAGAAAGAGACTACACGACAGCTATTGTCAGCAAAAAACAGAAAAGGTCTGTTCTCTATTTTATCTATTACTCTGACAGATAAAGCAGATAAAATAGTAAATAATTTCTCCCACATACACCAAGCAGAGCCAAGTCATCCAATACAACCTTTGAGGGATGGAAAATACCATCAGCTGGCCCACCTGTGGCTGATCTGTGTCCCCCGCAGGCTGGACATGGTCTCTTCCAGGTTCTGCCGCAGGTCAGCGATGTTCTTCACCGTCCTCATGCGCCTCGCCTCGGGGTCCTCTCCTGCTGAGACACAATTAAAGTTCGATTCACTCAGGTGCTTGGACCTGCACCCACACACTCAACAACACACAACTCTCTTCCATGTTCCAGCATGGCCAGCCACAACACAGCCCAAGGAGCGGCGAGGACGTCTGACAGAGCGTTTCATCGCTTGTCCCTGGACATCTCGGACGGGGGGGCAACGGAATGGTGACCAATCGCGGTGGCAGCAAGCCTTTTGCTGACAGTTGCGAGCCTATACTGTAAACAGCCTGTCAGGCTGCACTACATGCACTTCTTTCACTTTATCGTTTTATCCACCGCTTCCCCTCCAGGCTGAAGCAGAAATGTCATGGGATGACACCACGAGATCCGTCAGTCAGATCAGGACCGCCTTGGTTGGAAAAGCAAGCTCTGTCACTTCTTTGTCAAGAACGGTGGGAGACCCTGCGGCCTACAGCCGCAACAAAAACGGGAAACTGGACTTAAAAAAAGACAACGTGTTTTCTAGCCTTCTTAGTGTCTGCTTTACAAATGAACCAAATGCTGAATGGAGGCAACAGAAGTGTTCTCCAGCAGAGAGGATAACGAGAGGACTCTGGGCGATGTTTCACAGCAGAGAGCAGAGGGGGTTCACCAAAATATCTGCTTGTCTGATCCAATTAAGGCTCCCTGTTAACTTGTTGAGATAGCCTGTATCTGCAGGCAGTGGCAACAGAATGGGTAATTAACAAGTGGAATGAGACGCGGCGCGGATGGGCAGTCACTCTCTGCTTTCTAGGGTTAAAGGTGCTTCTAAACGAAAGCTGCCTTGGCTTCAATGAGAAATTACTCAACATGGGTTTGAACCGGGCTAAGAAGCCGAATCATTCAGTTAGGATGCAAGTGGACTCTGCAGACGTCACAGTGACCCTGTTAGGATACAATGGCCACCATGCATGGCACTGGACAGCAGTGAGGCTGGAGTGACAACTCCATTATCCATTTCATTGGAGATTGACACCATTTCAAGATTTTCACTTGACCTTTCATTTAATTTCCGTCATTTCCTCCAGCTGCTTTTCTGCAAGCAGTGGGGGCCAACAGTGCCTGGTGAATGAAACAAAGGTTTGCCGCAGTGCTGGTTTCGACCCTACAAGGTTTCTTGCAACTTTGCAACCACACTAGGATAAATAAATGCTTTTATTTTTTTACACGGTGGCACTAAAGGTATACCCCGTAGAACAACCCAGCACACAATCGATGCAGAATGGAACTTTGTTTTCAGGCTTTCTGCTGCGACCATGTAAAAGACCTCTCAGCTGTGAGGTATTCTTTGTGACAGCGCTCTGTTTGCTTGCCCGGATGCATTGATTTTAAAAGTTCTGGCAGCTTAAAGAAAGAAAGAAAAAAAAAGAAATCAGAGGAAAAGTGGAAAAATACTGTCACGTCACAACTTTATTTCCAATTCTTTACACACCAACGAGAGACTTAAATATGGCAGCATTTCTAGCAAGGAACTGTTGTGTTGGGGATTAGATTTTTAGCTACACTGCCAACAATTATAGGATTATTATGGTCTGTCATGCTTGTAGGACTTTAAGACACGCAGCAGTCTGCAGTGTAGCATCAACTATTTTCAAGTCAAACGTTGACCTCAATTATGATCCCACAAAGTGCAAAGCTGTGTTAAGTAATTGAGGTCATAGCTCATCTTTGCGATGCTCACCTACGACTCCATAGCTAATGTCTACTTTACAGCCGCCTAACAAGAATCAGAGTAAACAGAAATATAATACAAAGCGGCCCGATTCCTGTGATAGCAGTAAAAGCTTCTCTGTCCTGGATTTGGTTTTGTCCGGATGCAGGAGCTAAAGAATGCCCATCAGCACCAAACACCTAACGCAGAATTCCTCTTCCTTTGTGATTCTCCCGTTTTTCCTCCCGTCTATCCATCAATTCACTGAGGCCCCTTTGAGAAATATCCAATTACAATCCCATTACAAAGTGACACGGCGAAATCTGGCCCAGTATTCTCTGTCATGAGCGGACACTTCATGCAGCATGGAGGCGTGCCTGTGCATTTATGAGAAATTATTTGCAGAGCAGTCGCAGAGGTCTCACCTGTGCAGCAGGACGCCCCGGTTTTCCGAATGTCTCCCTTAGGAAATGCATTAGGAAATGCGCAGACTGTAGGATGTGTGCATGACAATAACAGAATTCCTTCTTCTGAAGTGTGGTTATGTTATGAAAACAAACTGCAATGTATTTTAAATGAGATTTTATTGGACAGACTGGGGGTCAGCTGGGTTTTGATTCCAAAACATGCATAAAAGTAGCCCCTGAAGACTGGACTTAGAAACCCCTTCAGTAGACAAACACCAAGAAGTTCATCATTTTGATTGGTTCACCTATTTGCAGATTTTTTCTGTGGAACTTCACTCCAAAGTATTTGCGGAAAATTTGCTTATTTGTGCATTTCTCTTCTAAAATATTGAAAATCAAATGCAACTTGGGAAGCTGATGAACACGATGCTACTTCACACGCTATTGGTTGGCTTTTGCAAAGCAGCAAACGCCGACAAATGCCAATGGATGGCATTCATTATCCTCAGTGCTGACTGGCTGTATCCTCAAAAGCAGAGATGAGAAAGATAGTAGGGTCTGCAGTAGTTCTGACATGGTTCTCAAAGTTCATATTCATGCACTTTCAGCTAAAGTTTTTGGTTGAACTATTAAAATGGGTATCCATAAGATTTTTAGGAGGGCATCTCAAGTATTTGTGGATTGAAGCTAGTCCTGGTTGGCTGCGGACCCAAAACGATGCAATTACAGGGGGTCCACTGAATTGGAATCATTTTAAACATGAATAGCTGGTGTGGATGGTACAGTTCTCCTGTAAGACAAAGCTTCCAAAAGTCAATAAGCTATTTAATACGAATACTAGTATGTACATACTAGTGTGTGCATGCATAAAAATAAAAAACAATGTAAGACATACATACATTGAAAAGGCTTCACACTCAAACAGTAATAATGAGGTATTGATCAGAGTGGCTGTGTGATTCACAGCCTGCGAGGGTGAGGCTGAGCTTTTTATGGAGAGGAGGAATCCGTTTCCCACCATCTGAGGTATTTTTGGGTTTTAATGCTGAATCATTCCTCCACCTGCCAAAAAAGTCAGCAATAATCTCCTCAAAGCTAAAGCTCCCATTGAATCCACCTTATCAATATTTTCACAAAAGCTTAAAAACACAGAAAAGTGGTTCACATAGATATTAGCAAGAGACTTCCAAAAAATATGGTATATATTTTGACTTTCTGAGCAACAATGCAGCAAATTCAGACATTGCTAGGGTTACATTGGGGTTAAGGGTGGTGTAGCTGGTGATAAAATGTGGTTAATGAATGAGAATTTTGTTGGGGATCTAGTAACATCTGTGATTGAGCATGTGTGAGTATGAACTAAGCTAGCTGATGTCTCATTCCACAGCCACGTCTCAAAAACATTTAAATACTGTCTTCAACTGCCAACAGGGTCCTGTGAGAAAGTATGGTTCGTCCAATAGAGGATTAAGAAAATATCCAGCTTATATAGTAGGTCTTTCAGCTCTGCTGTTCTTAAGATGGCTTCTTTAAGAACTTTGAGTTAGTGTGGACATATTTCTGACTCCCTGCATTAAGCCTCACGATAATCCTCCAACACTGGATGAATCCCAACCACCGCAGCAGAGACGAAGGGTTAACTTACGTGGGTGAGGTTGGGGTGAGGTGTGGAGGACCTGCTCCAGGTCCCCCAGCATGGTGAGGATCACCTCCTTATCCAACTGAGCCGTTCCCTCTCGAGGACCTCCCTCTGAAGCCTCCTCCTCTGCCCAATACCCATCTTTTTCCCTGCCGCCCTGCTTCCCGCCGCCCCTTTCTGCTGCCGCTTCAGTACTGGAACATCCATTCCTGCCTTCCCCGTCTGCCCCTGGCCCCTCCCTAGACCTCCGCTGTGACTCGGTCCTTGGGTGGCCGCTGTACGATGCCCGTTGTGGATGCCCACCTGCTGCAGTGCGTCGCCAAGGGACCGGGATGAGGGAATGCTCTGACTGCGAGAGGACTTTAGTGAGGGATAGTGACAGAGATCGAGCTCTGGTGCCCCGGACACCTGTGCTCCTGGTGCTGCCCTCCTTCCTGGGGCTGCCCTGCAGACTGCCCCCCGCCCGCTGCGAAGATGACGAGTAAGGCAAAGAGCTCAGAGGTTGGGAGAGACGAGACGGTGGGTCGGTGAGTTCAAAGGAGTAGACCCGCTGCTCCCCATCACTGAGCAGGGTCAGGTTGGTGAGGGAGCGCTGCTTGATCCGCAAGTTGAGGTTGTCGGGGAGGGGTTGGGGAGGCCGCCGAGCCGGGCTACCCCCTTGATACACAGAGAACTCTGCCCCTCTCTTCATCTCCTACCTCTTCGCTGCCGGTGACTCAGGAATAGGTAAAATACGTGTGAGTGGTTCCACCTGTGTGCAGCTCTCCCCTTCACATCTTGGTCGCACCTTCGCCGAGAAAGCAGATGGAGGGAGGGAGGAACCGGAGAACAGAGGATGCAAACAGATAGGTCCCCACGTCCCACACCTCCCTCACTGTGGTCCAGGATTCAGTGGGCTGGAGGGAAAGCGAGCGGCGGGTGAAGAGTGGGGAGAAAACCACTCTGGAAGGTATGCAGGTGAAATCCTGATCCATCCCTGAGCCAGCCCATACTCGTGGTCGTACTACGAGCCAGACCAAATCACTTCATCCTTCCACTCCGTCCGCATGTTGTCTCTCTGCCTCACCACGGTCAGGGGCGTGGATGCACAAGCTGCTACATCTCCCGTGGCTCACTCTCTGCTCCTCCTGCTCTCGCTCCCTCTGTCTTTTCCCCTATTTAATGACAGTCTCTCTTCACTCACTCTTATCTGTTCCCCATCCACCTTCTGTCCCTCCTTTAATTACCAGCTCACTGCCACACTTCTGCTGCCTCCCTCGCTGACACGCTGACTGTTCCCCTCTCTTCACAGCGGAGAATAAATGGCTGGTGAAGCCCGGCTCACACACATTCCAGCATGCAGCCTGCAGCCTTCCCTCCTCCTCTCCCGCTCAGCCCCGCTCAGTGTTCATCAGCACTTCTTTCTCTTAATCCTTTCATTCTCTTCCTCAGTTTACTTCTTACCCGTCGCTTTCCTCCCACTCCAACACAGTGGGACAGTGAGTTGTTTGGACAGCGCACCTGTAAGCTTGCAAGCCCACTGCACCAATCTACCCAGTCGACTTAATTAAATGCCGTCTTCGGGAGCTAAAACACTGAGCCCTGTGGCTTATCATGGATCAACCATGAGCCAACATATTCATATCAGTCAGTGTGTACGCCGTCAGCCCCATTTCTGTGTTTCACACCTCCTTTCAACACACGGAAGCCTCCAAAAGAAGTCGGCTCAGAAGCCAAAAATCAGGTCTATTTTTAGATTTATTTAAGCCATAAAAAGTGCTTTTTCTGTCAGAGATTGTTCATCACAACATAAACGATAACAATGAGAGGAATTAGTAGGGGTATAACGGAACACAAACATTCAGTACATACTTCAGGTTTTTTTTTATTTTCATAACATCGTGTATACACCTGAGTAAAAAAAAAAATCACTTTGGACTTGTTTTGATATTTAGACAATCCACTATATCAGCTGTACTTGAATGCACCATTACAGAAGAGCTGATGCATATCCCCTGTCAACAGAGGGACAACATACCATTATGATGTTCATGTGCAACCTTTAGGACTGGTTGAACGCTGCATGTCGCTGGATTTGGACCTTAGGGTTAGGGTCAGAGGTTAGTGAAAACTGGGAATCCTCTCTAGTTTGAAAGTTGAATTACCACAAACTTAGTTCTACACAAGCCTCTGAATGTATAAAGATATAAAACAATATCGTATTTGTTTGGTACAAGAGCGTCCTGAGACAAGGGGGCTACAGCAAATGCTTTTGGTATGAATACAGCTTCTGTATTCAGCTCAGCAGATGCACAGAAGCTAATTCCTGCTTCCGGAGTGGGGAGTTGCCGGGGAGATGAGCTCTTTTGCTCAGCTAGAGACCATAACTCCAAGGAGGAGCTTTGTGGAAATAGGCGGGGCTCCGTGAGAACGAGTGTTCAGGCATACCTAAATGGTTGCCAAGGGAGGTTTGAGGATTTCTCAAATATGCAAGAAATAAAAAAAGTCAAAGTAAAACTTCAGGTATGTTTTTTTCATAAGGGACTATCATAATATCATATAAATGTCAGAAAAGTCAATTTTACAAAATCCTCCCCCTTGACGGTGTATAACAGGATTCCTTCCAGAATTGAGTAAGGGTAACTGGTTTCCCTTGATTTTATTAAAGGGTTACAAACACTACAACCATAAAATCCCAGTCAAATATCGTCCAGTGCATGGCTGTGATGTGCCAAAATGCAATAATGTTCAAGCAGTGTGGACATTTTGCAAGGCTCAGTATGTACCAATGCAGATATTTGCGAGCTCTCTCTACCCCAACCTTTCTTCTCATCTCTGCAACTTCTGAAACACCATAATAGATTTTAAACAGTTGTCCTGCTTTGATGTCTGAAAGCTGACACCCCTGACATGGGCTGTACGGATGTATGCAGTAGGAGCAGGCTTGTCATGTGGTATCTGTGGTGTGCGGACTCTTGAACTGCCCTGTCAGAGACTCGCTGCCTCTCCTCCGCAGAGGAAGAGCCAGAAGGGCGAAGGGTACGAAGCGGCTATGAAACGTGTGACTGCAAAAAAAGCGGTTGTACCTAATGGAGTCTAAACAAAGAGAACGGTCAGTGCTGTTGTCTAATTTTGTCCTGCAAATGACGGGCTTTGGAAAAGCCAGGACCGTAGCTAAATGTCTGGAATGTCGCTGCCCACTTGACATCCCTAAACCTATAATCACATGGTGTTGTTTGTGCAAGCTCTGCTTTGTAGAGTTCTTCTGGGTTTCGGCTTGACGTCTTCCTTTTCCCAACTTAAGTCTGGTTTTCTTTGATTTTCGATCCAGGCTGAGCTCTATTTTATATTTTATGATGAGTGAGGAATTTGTTTTCAAATGTTAGCGTTTCCGATTTACTTCAAACGACGTAAGATGTAAAGCTCCAAATTTCCCCACAGACACAAACAGCTGGTTAAAGTATGACAAACTTTAAGAAAGAAAGCGATTCAGACCTGAGGAAGCACCTATGATGGATATGTTTGAAGACTGCAGCAGCAGTCATTTGAAACTGGATAGTGGAAGAGAAACAATAGTTTGCTCTAAGCCAGCTTTTTGTTTTCAGTGCTGGGATGTTGGTTGAAGTTCTCTTCCAGCTCTTTGTCAAATATTTTCAACTAGCAAAATGCACCTAACCAAGGAACCTCTGTAGCAAACCACAGAGAAGACGACAGGAAGTGATTGGATGACGATGGCGCGACATTTCTTCTGTTTTATTGTGTGAACAAACTTATTCACATGTGATGTTTAATATGCATCTTATTTAACAGAAACACCTGAATTGCGTAACAGTGTTTTATCGGCATTAGCAGAAAGTTTGGACCTCATTTGCTATTGCTGCATTAGCTCTGAATGAACAGGACTTCAGATTATAAACACAGGAGGCTTTGTCTTAAAAAACATTCTAACTAAATCTCACACTTTTAAAGCTGCTCTGCAGCATTAATGAGGGCAATGAAATGCTTTTTATGCAGTTTATGTTTCTGTTTGACTCATTTGCATCTTTATATTGCATTTATTAATGTTCAAGTACCGCTATTAGATAACTTCCCGGTTCTAACAGCCGTGATGTTCCAGCTTTACCCAGCTCATCAGTCTGAGAATGACAGGTAATGGTGATGTAAATCCACACGGCTGATTCCCTCAGACAGCGCTGACCTTTTTCCTTCTATTCATTAAACAGGAACAAAACGTGGCTCCCCCAGGTAAACACAGCTAGTTTTATGCTGTAGAATTTGCACACTGATAAACTGCAGCTTTTTTCCCCCCACTTCTGGAATAATTTTGCTTGTGAACTTGCAGATCAAAACTGCAGCAGCTTTAAGGTCAGATTTGAATAAATATAGAGGCTCACTGGCAGAGAGAGGTTAAATTCCTAATATAACCTATATATATATATATATATATATATATATATATATATATATATATATATATATATATATAAAAATAAATGTACATGCTTATTTACACACTCACACAAAGACGATGATCTGCACAGAAGCCCACAGCGTGTGTGTGTGTCGTACCTGATATCTCCTCCAGGCACTGCTTGGCTGTTTTGCTGTAGACCAGCTCTCCCTTGGTGGGGCTGAGGCAGGGGTCGGCTGGGGCCACCATGGTGCAGTCGTTTTCAGAGAACGTCCTGGAGGCAAAAAGATAAAGATATATGTATAATAAACCTGGGCATTTGCAGATATGAGCAGATTTAGCTGTTACCTGTGTTCAGACAGATTGCCTGAATCTGTTTTCAGGTTAAAAGTGAGAAGCTTCGTGTACCTACCAGGGATGCACCGATCCACTTTTTTTCATTGCCAATACAGATATCAGAGGTTTAGTATCGGTCCAATAACAATCCGATACAGAAAATTAGGAGTATAACAGCTGATATAAATAAAATAAAAACAGAAATGAATAGAAAAATAAACTGCAACAAACCTTCTGTCTTAAGGGTCAGAAACTGCAATTAGGAATGCTAAATATAATGTAAAATAAAGAATAAAACGTAGACTTAGACTGAATGGATCTGCTCACATTGTCAAGATACCAGACCGAGGACTTTTTTCAAGATCAGAATCGATACAGATATTGATAACATCTCTAGTATCTACCAGAATCACTAAGAATATAGCAGCATTTTAAATCCGCAACAACAGCTGGATGGGTCTGGTACGTTTTATTTTCCTCTATGAAACACGTCGCTGGATTTCAATGGGTTAAATCTGTTTCTGTAGCTCTGCCTCTTGTCCTCCAGTCCGAGTGGCATCACGATTCAACGTTTGCTGATCTAAGGAAACAAAGACATTCCTACACACTTCCCGAGATGCGTTACGCGCGCACACACAAGCTGTGTGTGAGTAAATGTTGTCAGAAACGGATGACAAGGAAGAAAACTGCTTTCAGCAGCAGAATGCATGTAAACATTTCACCATCTTTATGTTGAAAAACATCCAGAAAATATGCACAGCAACAGTTGCAGACATGGGCAGACAGGGCTGGAACAAGCTCACACACACACACACACACACACTCACAGATCCAAGCAAAGGCCACATAGTGTCACATACTCACTCCTTCACACACACGCAAGCATACGCACACACACACCAGGGATCACCGTCACCACCTGCAGCACTGCAGATAAGAACTGGCTTCCAGTTGCGTGAGCGACTTCAGCTCATGCGAATTATTTCTCCTCACTGCTGCCTTCCTTTCTTTCAGCTGCACAGATATTCTCTACCGAAGCTGCGTGGAACAAAAGTGATGTGAAATAAAATGGAGGACTTAAAATGTGAGATAGATGCACCGACAGCGTAAACAGAAGCTACATAGTTAATCATTTGGGTGGAAAGATTACGACGCAAATATAAAAATATGATCATCATGTTTTTACATCCAGAGGATTCTTACGCATGTCAAGATTATATTCAGTTTCTTCTAGATGGATAGATGGTGAAAAAAGGAAGAATGGACGATAAAAATGGGATGAAAAAAATGGATGGGTGAATAGATGAATGATGAAAATTTATATATGTATGGATGGATAAAAAATGTATGTATGCATGTATATATATGTAAGGATGATAAATGAATGGATGAATTAGTCAGTCCTCAAACCACCAGAATCCTTTAAGTTTCAGTTCTTTCCCTGGTTCAACACACTTGAATCAAATAACTCTGCAGAACATCAGGACATTCTGAGGACGTAGTTAGTCCATGTGAATCAGCTTCATGGGAGCAGAGACTCCTGTAAAACTAACCCTAACCCTGGAGGACTGGAGCCGGACACCCATGGATTAAGGCATCAAAGTTTGGAAATGCAAAGAAAATTCTCTGATTTTTATTTTTTTTTTGTCCATACTTATTCAGACCTGAAAAACACTCAAACTGATCAGAGAGTGTTTTTGTGTTGGAAGGAATCAGTAGGAAATCTAAAGGGAACAAAATGTGACAGTTCATTACGCTAGAGTGATGCAACAACTACAACCCTAACAAAGTCGAGACGCCCAGAAGAGGGAGAATGATGGAGAAGTTGCACAGCCAGAACCCTCACACACCCAGAATGCCTGCTGAGAGCCTCTGGTGAGGCCTGCTGGTGAACATTTATGTAATGTCATCAACGGAAGCCCCACAAAGAGAACATCTTAGAAAACAACTAAAAGGTACTAAAAACACTAAAACACCTAAAAATAAAAAACGAGAAAAGCTTCAGTAATGAACCTGGTTTGTCTTGTTCCTGGTATTTAAATAATCTAATTACACCTCTACAATAATTTATAGACAAGTATCTATATTTAGAGACACCAATTATCAATTGCTGTGGCATTTAATAAGGTAAATCTATTGCATGTTATAAATAAGTCACTTTCCTTCTACTCCACCGTTATGTTCCACATTGTGTCGGTTCATCCGAGAGTCTCAGATAATACAGTAAAGGTTTATGGCTGCAACACAAATACCCTATCTGTAGCGATGACTTTAACCAAAGACATCAAACCTCCAAAGTTAAAGGTAATCAATGATTTCGTTCCATGTCCGCTTTCTGGGGTGCCAGACACAAAAGAAGAATTGAAGTTCTCAGAATCGCCAGTCTTGTTTGGACGACACATTCAGAAATTTTCAGAAATATCATATCAGACTGAAACCTGATATGAAACGGACAGGAAAGAGCGTCTGGTAGTCCAAGTTTCAAGAAGCTCATTCAGTAGACTGTGGAATACTTTACGGATGGCTAACCCACTTAATATTACTAATGGACCTAGTCCAAGGGGAAATGAATTTAATTGGGTTCCTTGCTTCTGTTCTCTTGTGGTACACCACCTATAGAGAATTTGATATCCCGGGGGTCTATACAGATTATATTCCACACCTGATCACTGGCCCGTCAGGGTGCCGCATAACAGCTGTATGCATCAAGCCAATATAGTCGGGGAAAAAAGAGACAGTGAATGGATTCCTAAACGCCGCCAATGTCTGAAATTTCCCATTGAGGATAAAACGCAGACAGCCAAATAATAGGCTTTGGCAAGCAGATAGCAGAGGATGTTAATTTGTTCTGTAATGACTGTGAAAAGATGTGGAGGCGAGAGCATGATGCACAGTGGGGAGCGCCAGCTGATGACTGGGAGAACTCCAAGACTTCCTAGGATATGTGTGTGTGTGTGTGTGTGTGTGTGCGGGTCTGTAGTTCTGTGGAACTTAAAGGGGAATTGGTGTTGAACCTGGTCCAGATGACTCACCTGTACATGAAGGGCGCCACCGTGGCAGTGTTGGGGTGGTTATGTTGCTGCTGCTGTGGAAGCTGAACCACTCCGTTGCCTCCGAGCGCCCCGCCTCCTCCTACAAGCATCCCACTGGACCCGGACAGAGCCGAGGTACTGGTAGACGAGGTCATGCTGGTCCGCTTGCCCTCTGGACCGCCGGCGGAGCGCTGGATATAAAAACTCCCGCCTTGCCCTCCTTTGGTCAGCTTAGCTCGCTCTCCTTCACCTGTCCGCATGTTGCCACTGCTGTTTAAGGCAGCTTGGTTCTGGTTCTGGTTTTGGGACTGGCTCTGAGGTTTGGCTGACGTCGTGGATGGAGCTTTGAGTCCTGGTTTCGGGATGCCGCTGGAAGCTGAGGAGGAGCCGCCATCTTTCTTCCCTGATGATGACTTTCCTCCCTTGGGGATGAGGCTCGCTATCTTGGAGTTCTTCTTTGTGGAGTCGGCCGCACTCTCCTCTTTTGGAGGAGAGCTGTCCTTTGAAGACTTCCCTGACTTGTTTTTGTCCTCTTTGTCTTTGCTTGGGGCCAAGGACCTGCTGCCACTGGCAGACGTTTTTGATGACGATGAAGACGAGGTTTTGCTAGGTGCAGAAAGGGATGATGCTGACGTCTTTGTTGAGATCTGTTTGGCGGTAGCGCTGCTACTGCCGCTGCTGCACACTGACCCCGTCGGGGTCTGCCCATCGTCCCCGTACTCTGATAGGTCGTCTTCCTCCTGGAGAGTCATTTCCGCCATGGATGGTGACGTTCTCGAGGCTGAACGAGGGTTAATAAGTCGAAACTTCTCGAGCATTGATCTCTGCGGTGGCACGGCTCCCGACCCGACTTTGGACGCCTCACTTCCGTGAGTCTGAAGACCTTCCAGGGCCTGCGGTGAAGGGGTGGTGGAAGGTGAATGTGTGGGGCTTGCCAGCATGGAGGAAGTGGCGCTGTGCTTGAGGTTCATGGACTTGCTGCGCCAGGTCTTCCCAGCTGTGGGTGAGGGGATGGCAGAGGCCAGCTGCTGCCCACTGAGGCTGGTGGGAACCATCCCACCAATACCACTTCCATTCATCCCACTGGGTACTGGGATGCCCCTCACCAACTCTGAACAGAAAGAAAAAGAGGACGGTAGATTAGGTTTTCCATTCCAGATGGATGATCTTGTCGTAGATGCTCGTCTGACAGGACCAGACAGCAAATCTAAGGAAGCAAATTACTTGTTTAAAATGGCTGGAAAACAAACTTGCACCAATTTCCTCCAAGGTTTTAGCAGAATTTGGAAATATTTAAATTCTAACAGTAGAGTGTAAGATGAAAAGTACCAACAGGAAAGATTGTGTGCTTCTACAAATGTTATGTATTTTGCAACATACTAACACAAAAGCGGATTCAAAGGGAACAGTGTTGTGTGATTTTGATTCCAGCCGGATTTATCTTCCAATGAAGTTGCACACCTTCACAAGTTAAGGCTGCATGTTAAGGCTTCTGAAGGTGCAGGTTGATTTCATTTTGGGGCATCAGAGTAAAGGAGTAATGGGTAATGGTTTTTATCAAAGGTCAGCAGAAATACCTCTAACAAGACCTATCAGATTCCTCAGATTTCCCATGTTGCATAATCGTACAAACTTCCTTCCAATCAAGCATTGAGGAATTGTCAACTTTCTGCAGTGATAGGTAAGAAAAACAGTAAATTACAACACAATGATATCTCTTACACCTATTTACAGACGGTATTTAATCAACACACATAGGCTAAATGTTAGTTTGGTCAAAGAAAAGCAACTTTTTCAAATGTAAATAACACACCACCAACACCAGAGTCCACAGCCCAGAAGATGAAGTTGTCAAAAAGTATGGACTTACTCTCTGGGAAGGAGAAATAAATTGAGGGGGGTAAAAACACAAAAGAAAGCATTATGAAGCAGAAGGAGAGGAGAGATGACAGAGTGACAACATGGAGTTATGCACCAATAGACTGAGTGTCTGGCTGGCTGTCAGTCAGCACAGTGAGCAGGGCTCAGCTGGATCTGAGTCACCTCCAGTCTGCTCCTTAATGTCACTTCAGGCAGACAGAGAGGGGCTTGGGCTTTGATTCAGCTGGTTGGGGCTGAGACACAACATGTTTGCTCAAACCTGAAAGAAGAACTAAAAAAGCCTCAGTGCCACATATTGCTCTGACAGCTGGGGATTAAAATAACGGAGGCTTAAAAGCTGTAGGTGTCTTGGGTAGGTGAACATTTTAGAGGCTTTAGAGCTCGCACAAGAAAGCCTGTAGAGTTATGCTAAAAAGAAAATACACCCTTTTTCAACTTTTAATACGAATTATAACATTTAGCTAGCTAGTAATTGTGAGTTCAGGTAGCTAGCTAAGTAGTAATTCTATCTAGCTAGAATCAATAATAGATGGCCAGGTGAAACCACTTAAAATGTAGTTGTTCCTTTCAACTGTTGCCACATGCTTGCTTGGGTGGAAACATTGCTGCTTTTTTATTTTTGTAATTTATTTGCCTTTTTCCTTGTTTTCCTTATTAGCTGCAGCAATACATGATTGACATTGACTACAGTGCAATATGTATTTGCAACTGGACCTGTAGTTGCATGGAGTGCAGTACACTGACTTGATTGAATTTGGACAGATAAGGAGTCTAACTGGATACGAGACTGACTCGTTTGTCCAGTAAAACGTCTTGAGTTGACATTTGTTTAGGTTTTATTCTACATTTTGAAAACTGAACTTCTAGGTTCATCATTTTTAGTACCTACCTGTGTAACATTATAGCAAATACACCGATTGTTTTTCCAAGTGCGTCTTCGTTATTATTATTCCCCAATCATTCACCATAATCCAGCGGCCCCTTCAGGTGCTTTCTAAATGTTAATGAGGGAGACTGGAAGCATTAATGTGATGAAGTGTGTGGGTCCACTCAATTAACCCCACCTTTAGAGATCCTCCAGCCCCACTCTAGAGGCCATTTCACAGGACCACCACACTTTCGCTGCGTTGTGATTTAAGAGTTGTCATGGAAACCAGCCTCTTTTCTTTTCCTTTTTTTGCTTCAGCTAACAGAGAATGAAATGCCACTTCCTCTATAGTGTGTCAGACTTTCTGGTAGAAATTTTTCAAAGAAGCTCAGGTTTATAATCCAGCATCCGCCTGGTTAAATAGTGCCGACTGGTTAACTCCCACCAGCACCATGTTCATTTACTTCCTCCATTATTTTGCTCTCTGCATTTTATTTATATATATATATATATATATATATATATATATATATATATATATATATATATAAAACTTGAAAGGAGGCAAAGTCTTCTGAGAAATGTGTGTGAAACGGCTCGTGGCAGAGACTTCCTGTATCTGCCTCTCTGTGTTCTGTTTTGCCCAGAAGGTCGGAGCTGTGTTGCTGACATTTCCCAGCAATTGATTTCTGTTCTCTCCCTTTGTTAGTCCTTTTCTCTCTTTTTCCTTTCAAACAAACTTCAGTTTTATCTCCCTGGAGTGAAACTTTAGTTCTTAAAGTCTTTTCTTGACAAGCAGAGTTAGTTTTATGGGATGACAGAACTGCTCTGTGAGCAAAGAGGGTGAAATTGTTGTATCTGTTGCTCCCATTCAGAAAGAAGCATTATCAAAGGGGTTGAAAATAAAAATGTGACGCCCTAAGTAGCTATACTGACTCTCACAGGTTGCAGACTTTTTTTTTTTAATCTTATTTAAAATGGATATTTTTGACAGGGCAGCTCCTTTTATGCGTCACCTCATCCTAATGCTGTCGTTAGGACTCAGCTGGAGCTCCGAGGCGGGGATGATTCAGCAGACTGAAGCGGGGAACCGGCTGCTCCGTTGTGCGAGCGCTGCCATCAAGTGGTGGGTATGGAGAATGTAAATTAGGTGGCTCTTCAATGCAGCCATGAGGAAAATGAAAGCACACAGTTCAACAGTGGGAGTGGGAGCTTGGTGTCTGGATGCAATGAAAATGATTTTACTGGCTTCTACCAGATTCTCGCGTAAACAAACAGACATCATCTGTTAAACAATGAACCAAAAAATAAAAAAAAACTGTTTTAGGTCGACTCTTCTCGACATTGCTTCAGTTCTATGGTTTTTTTCCAAGCACCTGTTAGCTCTCTTACTGTCCCAACACTACATTTCTATGAAGTAGAGATCTAATATTTGATCTCTAACAACATGTTGGAGTGCTGTGTTCTGCTCACCTCTATCGTTACCGCTTGCATACTGAAGAGGCTTGCTCTTGTCGATGCTGTTGAAGCTCTGGCTCCGGCGGTTGAGGTTGGATGAGCCTGGGCTTCTGGACGCCCCGCTGCCTGCAGCAGGGACTCTGGACGGCCCTGGTAACCTGGGGAAACCGCAGCAGGAAAGAGCATTTCAGTGTTAAAGGGGCAGCGTTGTATGCATCTCTTCACATTCCTATAGATGAAGTAGGAGAGTCATCACAAGAAGCAGGCCTAAAACTGAACCAACAAAACTAATGGATGCAATCAAGCGAATGGAAAAACGACTTTCTGAGTAACGACTCAGACCACATGAAGTTATAGGGAAATTGGACAATGTACTATATAAGAGAGCAGGCTCATCATACTCCGAATGACCCCCCAGCATTTTAAATTATGTCCAATGGCTTTGTCAGAAAGATGTAAAAGAAAATCCTGCATCGCTTTCCTTCTGTTTCAATCACATAAAAACCCCATAAAACACAATGAGGTTTGAGGTTATTATGTGACAAGATGTGAAGAGGTTTGGGGAGCGTGAAGACCAACACCATCCGAGCTGCAACGGACCTGTTGCAATGTCTGGAGTACCGGTCTTGAACTCTGCATGTGTCGGCGTGCAGGACAAAGACAAATCACAGAGTTGATGTAGCAGGAAGCGTGTGTTCCTTTGAGGGTTGGGGAGAAGGAGAGGTTGAACTCTGCACAGAGTTTGATGGAAAGCTGTCTCAGTCTATTGTTGTGGGAAAGTGTGTGTGTAGTTAGCCACAGAGACTTGCAAAGGTAAACAATCTCCTTTTAAATTTCCCAACATTATGTGAGGAGGCGTAAACCCTAGCTTGGTTTTTGTTACGATAGTCCAACAGAAAGCATATTTGAGAAATAAGAGAAAATGGTAAGTACTACTATTACTACTGTTGCCTCTTACCAAGACGTTTATTGAGCTTGGTAGAGGTCCTATGCTAATTTGCTGCAGTGCATAAAGAATCTGTATCAGCCAAAAGTGGAATTGTCATCAGGCTTCGACTGGTGACCCCTTGGATGTTTAACATGTTTATTGGATATTCAAATCAATCATGATCAACAAAAAATTTGGCTAATTTCGGGTTTAACTGTACAAAATTTTCAAAGCCTACAGTTTAAGTATTTGCACTAGAAAAAATTGCAAATGCCAGAGTTTATTTAATGCATCAACGTGAAGAGGAGTAAAGGAAATATTAAAAAAAGCACACCGAATCTTAGTGAAATACTTCTGTGCAGTCATGAAATTTTAAAGTATGTTAAATTTGTGAGTTATTCATAATACTTTGCTAGTTTAGATAATAAAACAACCAAAGACAAGATCAAATAGAGCTTCGTTTCTCCCAGTTGTTCTTTATAAGTTCCATCAGCTTTTCAGCTCTTGGTAGAGTCAAAGCTGCCAGCGTCACATGTTGTTCTCATACCTCCCCTAAAGGAGAATTACACAAATAATCAAATCAAACTGTTGGTGTTATACAACAGCTTGACGCAGCATTCTGCACTTTATTAGATGTTTTCCTCCAATTTCTTCTCCGTTTTAATGAGAACGGACAGTTTTTTCAGGAATCGCTAAACGTTATTTTGCAACTAGTTGGATCTTGGAAAAAAGGACCTCAGGGTGAAGATGAGAGTCTAATTTTTTTTTTTAATTCACAACCTGAGTTTTCTTAACATTCTTGGAGGGGGAACTGAAAGCTAGATTTTCCATTGCTGGCGACTTTCTGCTGGAAAGATACGCTGATGCCTCACAGAGATAATCGATTCATTATGCCGCAAATGTCACCCGCGTCTGCATCGCAGCTGGAGACGAGATGTAGGAGGAGAAAGCTGCAAAACTCCCAAACAGAAAACAGATTCTAATTTTGTCACGTTAGGACACAGTTCGCCAACGATCACAGCTTTCCATGTGATGGAACAGCTGCAGTTGGTCAGAATACGCCCAATGCTTGGTTGAGTTTAAGGAAAAACTCTATATGCTGTCAGATACAGATGTATGGAGAATGTATTGGACTCAAAAATAAGTTGAAAACAAATCCCTGTTGTTAAAGAAGCACCCAAGATGGCTATAGTGACTCTGGAGGAGCTGCAGCGATCTATGGAAGAGTGGCAGGAAGGATTTTGTGATCCCATTTGGAGCTCATCATAAACCTTGCAGGAATCACAGGAAATGGACTTAGAGAATAAGTCAGAAGATAATAAAATTTCTGCTTTTTGACAAAATCTGAACACACCATCCTATTAGTTATACATTGGTAGTGGTAGAATCAGACATTTTTCTTTTTAGAGTTGATGAGAATGACAGGGTTTCAATCCTGAAGGAATTCCAGACCTCAGCTAGAGATTATTTTTATTTAGTCCAGTAAAAATCATACAAAACTAAAGGTTACTTTCACATCTCCCTCAGAAGAGCAGAGTGCACAGCAGGAAGTGAGAGCAACCTCATAGATTTATCCTGCACAAACATGCTAAATTAAACTTTGCCTAGATGCAAATACACAAGAAGTCAGTCAGCGAGAGAAGAAGTTTCAACCATATAAAGTAATACTCAAGTAAAAAAAAACAAAAAAAAAAAAAACGGGATTCATTAATCTAGTCCGTCTACGTTTAGAAAATGATCAATCTACAAAAAACAAACAAAAGGTAGTGATTGATAAAATTAAAAGGATCCACACTAAGAGGAGAAGAAGAGGAAAAAAAACAGCAAACAAATGCAAATGGTTGAGAGCCAGTGGAGGATAATACTGCACACTGAGACAGGGGAAAATAAGAATGAGGGAAGAGGAGAGACAAAGCGAAGCAATTCAGCTGGAAATCAAAAGAAATCCCTTTCATCATTACACGCTTTCATCTTCCAAACTACAGGGGTTGATGATGCCTCGGCGAAAGGGACCTGGAAGGAAGAAGGTAATCTAATTTCTGCGCTGTGGGTTCTGCCGACGGATGTGAGGTGAAATACTGAAGCCTGTCAGTCACCAGTTGAACGCAGATGCTTCAGCAGAGAGTCTGGGACGCAAACCAAAGCAAAACTCTCTTCTTTTTTTCCACCCGGATGAAGGTCTGGAACATCTGGCGGCTACACAGGCAGTCAGAGGCGCAGTGCCCGTTGTCAGACTGAGAGCAGCACAAGGGCCAACAAACTGTCAAACACCCCCCCCTGCTGCTTGGATGCAAAACTTTATGGCCCTGTGCTAAACTACTAAACACTTGCATCAAAGTGAAGATTCAGATTTTACTAGGATGGAGTACATCTCCCAAAATATGGTGTGAAAACTCTTGATTACTGATTAAAATAATGATGCCAAAGCACATCAGAGTTGATGGGAATGATGGAAGGAGACAAACACAGAGCAAGAAAACCTGGTAGGCCACCAGAGCTACAAAGGAATAGTTCAGATAACAGATCCAAATGCCTGTGCACAGTTCTGTAAGGCTAACGTGAAAGAACTGCTAAGTTGATGCCATGAGGGTGAACTTATAAGACTATTTGTCACACCACATCAATAGCAGCAGAACTTTACTACATAGTAGTACAGAACTTTACTAAATCTGTCTGCTACTTACAGCCTGCAGCTTCCTTTGTTGTGTCTTAATTTTACCTTCATTGCACAGATGTTGAAAACTTTCCAAGGGACAAAATGTGATCAGCAATGAAACAAAACTTTCTGTTTGTGTTTGTGATGTGGAAATTCTTTGATGGACGAGAAATTGTGATCTTTGTGGAAACAGCTTCTTCTATTGTACCATAAGGATTTAAAATTGAACAGACATTTTGCTATCAAGTTCTTTTGCATGTATACAATGCAATATGTAAGTAAAGAGGTGGCAACATGTATTTTCATCTATTTAAAAAGATGCCACATATAATGTCATGAATGCTTCGTGGAAAGGTGAACAGTATAATAAAGGTCTAAATTTGCCTGATTAGCCAGAAAAGGGTCATAATTTGTGTGTGTGTGTGTGTGTGTGTGTGTGTGCACGCGCGCGCATGTGTGTTCATTTAGTGTAGTAGGTGGCAGTATTTCACTCAGAAACATTGATCCAAGCTGCCATGACAAGAACTGCCACTCCCTTCAAGAATCTCCTTGCAAAATGCTTAATATCTGACCCTGACTGTTTACCTTTGACCTTTGATAGAGTATCACGAAAATATAGAAAGAACAAGTGCAAACTAGAAAAAAAAGAATGCTTTAAAACAGAAAATTTCTCAAGACAGGAATCGGGTGAAAAAAAAAACACAGGAGAGAAGAAATGTACCTTGTGTTTTTCTTCTGAGGTGACCCTATTCCACTGTGGCCTGGAGGACTTGCATATCGTGCTGTGAGACTGCAAACAGACCAGAGAAAAAGACAGATATACAATTAAACACAGTTAGATGGAGAGCGAGAGCAGTGCCTGGTAAAAGTTCTCCTAATCCATGGCTAAATGTAATAATATGAAAGGGAGGCAGAGAGACGGAGCCGGAGCCAGGTGAAGGAAAACACGAAGCACGTGGTGGACACTGCTAGCATGCCAGGGAACATTTCTTTGATTTTTCACATGATGGCTCACACATGTTGGTAACCACAAGTGTATGACTAAGCCAATAACATCCCTCAGTCCATTTATAAAACGGCCAGGGAAACTTTCCCAAACAGGTTTGCGGTGGCATCCTTTGAAGAAAACCCCAAATCACACAGCACAGAAGGCAGGGGTGAAGGAAATGCTCAAAGCACCAGTCACAGTTAGTCACTCGAAGAGATGGGAGTTACTGCAATTATGCACGTTTCAGGCGTGCCGCCTTGTTCGTGTTTGACAGGAATTGGCTTGGCTACATGCAGAGTTGTTTTTCAGTCAAACTAATGATGTCCTGTAAACATTAAAGCGGGTGGAAAGCGGCAAGCTGAACTAAATTCATTTGAAAATTAGCCTCGCACTGGCGTTTGTTGACACATTTCCCTGTTCTCAGCAACAAGATGTAGACTAACTCACTGACAGCACACGCATAAAAGCAATAGAAAACCTGCTAAGGCCAGAACTGATCACTTGTATTTTTTTTATCTGCTGAATTCAAGATGAAGCCATTTTTTTTTTTTTTTTAAGAACTGTGTCAGAGCCTTCCCAAGGGAGGTCTAAATGTCTGACAGCTCCTTGACCTCTGTAAGACTGAATGTGTTTGTTATGATGAGGAGAACCTAAAAGGACTCCTTCCACCAGCTGCCTATGTGAGGTCAACAGAACTCTGTCCTTTCTACAAACAGTATTGGCTCCCTTTGTTTGAGACACCTGACATTTTGTCAGAACCGAACGTCTCGCTACTTAGGATTACTGAATCTTGGCTACAACAGGTATTGTTGTAGCTAAACTACTCCATAATTGCAGTATCCTTAAGATTGTCAGAAGAGGGAAATTGGGACAAAAACTGGCATAAAAATCTCTGTGTGAAGTAAGCTCAAGCTTTGTACAATTCCTTCAGCCTGAAACAGTTTTTGCCTAAATTTCAGGGAGAGGTTGGTTTTTAAGAGGGAAAAAAACACAAACTATAGATCACACAATATTAGAACAAGAGTTAAAAATTGAAAAATGTTGGCTGTATTAGTCTGCCAGAAGCCCCAAGGTTAGTCTCTCTTTTTACGTTTAACCTGAAGTCTAACTCCATCAGCAGGCTCTTTTTACTGTGGAAGTAGAAACCACTTAAGCACTTATTTAAAGAGTTGACATGAGAGTGTTGACAGCAGAAAACTCATGTCTCCACAGATCAAATAAAACATCTTTCAACATTTGTCTGTGTAATGCTCCAAACACTGCAGTACACACGCACACTATATTCAATACTATCACTATCCAATCAAAGCTTCAGCTTGAACACACCATGAACTCTTTCTCAAGGTCTAGCACTCACACATGCAGGTTATACAGTGTGCATTGATTTTTGCCTAATTATAAGTCCAGTCTATCCTCAATGTAGGACAGCAGAAGGTAGAATGCAATACTTAAATGTATGAAAGACGATGACTATGCTGTTATCTGTGTTGGTAAGTGAGTGAAGGTTGGGTGACCACATTTCTCCCAGCAACAGACCCCATTACACTGCTACATTAATTGAGGCAAAAGTAACAAACAGGCTGTCTACAATGTGTTTAATTCACCAAACAATATCTTCTAGATCAGGAGCATCCAGTTCTGGGTAGAGAACATTAGAATGGGGGCTTGTCCGGGATACATATTGCAAAAGTCCATAGAGAAGAGACATTGTTTCTGGTTGGAAAAGGTAGCAACATTTAAATGATATAACTTTCATCCCCAAGAATCAACTTTACACTGAAACTGTAATTTAACTTTCACATGCAAGTTAAAGAGATGCAAGATTTTTTGTTTTGTTTTTTATATTGAACTTGAAATATTTCAGAAAACAGTTAAAATGTAAACAGAAAAAGTGTCAGTTACAATACAAATTTGCCATGCATTCAAACAAAATTAGGACTTTACTGCAAAGAAGCAACTTCATCAAATTAGTTTTGGACAATATCTTATAAAATTCTCGAAGTTGCTCAAATTTGAGTGCTTATAACAGCTTATTGCACACCTACATTATAGGACAACATGTAAAAATTTCATTAAAAAAGACTATTTACCAGTTCATGATGTCAATGACTAATCCAGTCTCCTGAGTTTACCCTGTGATTTCCAAAAATCCACACTCTGGATGCTCCGACAAACATGCAAGCAGCTCAAGCTGTAACTACCTATGAGAAGGCTCAGTCTGGACCAGGCTATTCGCCTTCCCACAGGGCAAACTGCTCTTCCTGTCGCGAGAAACGGCGGTGGGTAGGCGTGAGGAGCGGCGTACCCGGGGGTCAACTTGTTCACCCCACGACATAATGAATTAACGAGGGCGGGTGTGCTGTGCCCTTCCAGGCCTGGTCCCCCCCGACTTCTACAGCTCCGAAAGCCTTCTGAGGCTCATGGCTGTCCAATGGGGAGTTCCCCTTTGACACACACATACGTACACACACATATCTCATCCTCTTCCCCAGAGATACCAGTAGAGCCAGCAGGTGCCGTCTATAGAAAGCTTGCCATACCACAACTGTCAATGAGAAGTATGCCAAGTATGACTCTGTGAATCTGCTGATGAAAACCTTCAAACAAGTTTTTATCTCAAACAAGAATTTATCTGCTCAATCGTGACTTAACGCAGCTGTAAAGAATTTATTTTGAGAAGTTGATTATAGTTTATAGGAACTTTAATCAAAGTTCCTGCTACAGGCACTGTTCGCACAGATTATAGCAAAATAGATCTAGTTTGGTTACTGGTATGAATGTGTAAATATGTTCTAATCACTTTTTGCGCAAAACCTCCAATATTTTACATGAAATAAAAGAGAAAATACAAAGAGTTATTTTATGGTTGGTTGAAGAATAGAACAAGTCTGTGAAGAGCCTTCCCCACCGGTAGCTACACATTCCTGGTCTACTGAATAAAAGAAGTTATTGGTTTTAATTGATGTTTATTTTCAGCCTCAGATAAAAGCTATTACAGAGATCATGGATCATGTCATATGTGTAAATACTGTGATGACCTATAATGTTTACCCAAAGTTATGATGTCACAAGAAAAAAATAAATAAAAAAATAAAACAAAATATATATCTGCTAAACAGAAACTCCGTTTCTGTTTGTTCTGTAATTTCTCTGTTTGAGCAGCAAAAATATGGTGGAGATTTTCAATTGAATAGCACCTGTGAAAGGACCAAAAACAATTCAATCATTTGAAATTTATTCTGTCAGTTCTCCATTTGGGTCCAATCTCCATATTCAGACTCATCTGGCAGAGAAAGGTGTTACATATTGTATAACAGGGTAATGTAGCACCTTTCGATGGAAATTTGTACCTGGCAGTCATTTTGTTTTAGAATGCAACTACTTTAAAACAATCCTTTACTTTCAGCTTTGCAAAATGGCCAAATGTGAGCCAGATTTTTATTTTTGAACCGAGAGCACTTAAAAAAATTAAGTGTTATTTTACATGTTTTCATATTATTTTTAGATCAACGTTACAAAGGTGAAGAATGATCAAACATTGGTTGATGGAAATTTGTCCAAGTGGCTCATCACCTTGCGAACAGATTCAACACGGAGCACACCCTTATTGAAACCACATCAAATGGGATGATGCCAGGCAAATTTGCCCATCTATGTTGCATGTATCTAGCAAAAAAAATACATAAATGGATGTATTTGATAGTTTTTTTTCTATGTGAATCTGTCTTCTATGCTTACACAATCGGCACAACAACTGGAGAAGGATCAAAACAACAAGGCATTGTATGGTGCAGTGATAAAGTGGGTACCCTATTTTCACCAGCTATCAGTTCTTGATGTAGACCTTATGAATATTGCTGCATGCTCTACCCCCTTCTCTCTCTCTCTCCCATTTCCTGCCTGATTAATGTCCACGAAAGCCAAGTTCATATTCAATTTTTAAAAAATGTGAAGTCAGTGTACATAGGTTTTTAAAGATCACATTACTCGTTAACACACTCTCTTAGAATAAAGGTCAAAGAGCCCTCTGCTACCAAACATTCACAGATTATCAGCTTGGTTAACAGGAGACAGATATAATTGTTCTCCTGACCTTTGCTATGACGTCCAGAGTTAATAGTACAGGGATGGAGACAAAGAAAGCATAGAGCATATGTGGAAATGAAGTAGGGTGCTGCACAAAGGCTTGGTCTGAATTTATCTGTGCCACTTTATTCAACAGGCATCGGACCAGAATGCATGGTTTGTGACAACCTTAACTGCATACGGCGGAGTGTCTGTAACTTTTCCACCCAGCTAAACTGATACAGTGGTAGTAGTGCGTATCACACTATAGTGATGCGTGTGAAAACCATTTCCACCTGTTGTGGGCAAGATGAGGTGTGGGCTGGTAGTGCAAGGCAGCTGTGCCCCTAGTGACCTCTGACACTCAAATGCATGACACTGACCGTAGCTTTGCCTCCCTTTTTACCAAACCAAACACAGCGAAGCTAAAGATGTTGACAAGATCAACTTGCTGACCAGCTTCTCCTCGAACAGCGAGGCTAACTGATCTTACGGAGTGGATTTTACACACAGGGGAGAGCAGATTACAACCAGAGGAACATGATCCGGTGAGGGGAATGCTGCTCATGTGTGGCATCTCAGACCTTCCTTTAGACCATCCTCTAAGGCTTGCTGTCTATTTACGTCACACGAGGCCAGAACGTCTTTCCTTTTACTGCCGAGCTGATTTTCTGATGTAAGATCTGCTGTAAAGTTGAACCACTTCTTTTGATAAGTAAAACTGGGCTGATGTTTGTTTCCATCTTAACTTTGTGTTTGTGTTTCAGGAGGGTGAGGGAGTTGGACATGTAGTAGTTTTTAGGTCTTGTGACAATAATATGGATGCAGCAAAGTATTATGGTGTTTTGCTGAAGCAGAAAAAGAAATGTAGGTGTTGTGGTCACTTTTACGCATCCTGCCTACTACATCAGCATCTTGGACATTCGTCAACTGAGATTGCCAAAAGTAATCTCACTATTTGCTGATGTTACTAAAGTTAGTTTCTGCTTCAGAGGTTTTCAAGCTAGGAGCTTCTTGAAAATTAATCTTGTATCTCAGAAAACACAAAGTGCATTTTCAATACTTTTGTGACTTTTACACAAGCACGGCAATATATGGACTAGTAAACAATTATATGAATTATTCTACTATAATTGCCAATTCTTTAAAAAAATCATTCTGTCTGACTTTTTAAAAAAATGTTGCTAAAATCTCATGTCATCTTGTTCCTGTGGATCCAGGATTATTTCACATGGTGACACACTTACACTGGCAGTTCATTGGAAACAGGTTGCATATAAACTCCTTTTAATTTTCATCACCACTAAATGGCGACTCTCCTCTGTAGTAAAGCCTCCACTTTAAGTCAACAAGCATTTCTAACCAAACCACATTGACGCAATCGGTAAACGAAGAGCGGAGGACCCCACCTGGACTGCATCTCTTGTGTTTTGAGGCTGCTGGTGGACGGTGCAGTGCTGCTGGTCTGCTGGCTGAGCTCCACCAGGGACTGGTAGTACTGCTGCTGCTGCTGCTGCTGCTGCTTGTAGCGTGACAGGATGAAGAAGAGGCCAAGGATGCTCTTCAGGTTGCCATTCCTGATCTCTGGGGGGAACAAAGGGGACGGAGGCCGTGAGTTGCCGGGACCTCGACTTCTTGGCTAACGAGTTTGTCTTGGATGTCATGCGCTGCTGCGGGGCGAAGCGATTTACGGCCAAGCACAGTCGGAGCACATTCAATGAATTAAACACAATCTGCAAGTGAAAGTGCTGCGGCGGTTTGTTTTTCATCCGCCTGTGACTGAAGTGGTGTCTTGTGACACTTAAGATAAATATTTTCCATCCTCTGTATTGTGTCTTTCAAACTCTATGAAATGAGCATGTGGTGACTTTTGAAAAAGCCCTCTTGGGGACGGAGCTTGGGAGCAGCTGTTGTGCAGCTAGCGTAGGAATGAACTGTAGAAGAACCATTATCCACAAGCATTATCTGCTGAGGATCACAGCGATGCTGAGAATAGTGCTCATAATTTGGTTAATTATAAAAAGATAAAGCTCCTCTTTAATGAGTTTAAATGCTGGGCGAAAGTATTCGAGTTTCCCACATTTTTTTTTGTTGAATTCACAAACTTGACATTTGTTTTTCTTTACAGGCAATTCATTTGTAACAAAATAAGATCCAAAGAGCTTAAAATCATTAAAAACATCATACAGTCACCTACTGTGAGAACAAGCAACGAATGTCACATTTTGTCAAATGCCATCATCAAAAACATCAAAGCACGTCGAATATGTTGATCAATGTTGTATTTACTTCTAATCAAAGGCAACTCTAAACAGGTGGGGGGTTTTTAGCCGTGATTTAAAGGAATTCAGTGTTTCTGCAGTTTTGCAGTTTTATGGAAGTTTGTTCCAGATCTTGCTTTAGTAGTGTTACTCATGTGAGAAACAATTTCAGAGATATTTTTCAGCCGCATCGGGGTTGATGCTGCACTTTGGTCAAATGAAGAAATCCCGTCTTAACATGCTTTCTTCATGCACAACGACAAGAAAAGGATTTCTGATTCCGATTCAGAATTGTGAATTTCTCTCAGGAGAAAAACATCAACTGGTAACTTTGGCTCAGGCACTCATTCTTAAATGCGGTCCACAGTGAGAGATGGCGCGCTGAGGCGGGGCGTAAATGGCACCGACTGGCGCAGGGGCCTTTATTCTCTTGTTTAATCTGCCGAGGCGCACACACAGTACTCAGCCATGTATGGCTTGGACTGTTGAGACCGTGAAACTAAGAGAAGATTAATCTCTCGGGGATTGTTTTTCATTTTATAACAGCCAGAGGCAATAATTCATACTGGGCCTTTGAGAGAATTTCAACAGAGGGCATTTTTCCCCCCCCGAGCTGTAGAGAAAGTCAGTGCTACAGATTTGAGCTGCTGGTAATAGAAACTTTTGGAAACTGATAAATAACTCTCTTTGATAAGTATTGAAAAAAGGAAAAAAAAAAATCAGCACGCTGAGAGAAGCAGCTCATGAGCTCATGTGATAGTTGGACTCCGAGGAAGTTAGCAAGAGGGGATTTCTTAATTTGACCAAAGTGCAGCATCAGCCCCGATGTGCAACACACTGTGGGTGGAATAAGGCTTTATTGCACATTCTCTCCTTTATTCCCACTTTTATATGAGGAATAATCAATAAGAGCAGATACTGGATATCCAACTGTAATAAAACCTGGATTTTGTACAACTTTTCTTGTGTTTACTGCTATTTCAATGGAAAGGGATGGTTGTTTTTTCAGGGGGACTTATTCAGTTGTGAATACATTATGTGTATTTATTTTATTACTTTTAAATAAGAAACTATCTATTTTAGAGATAAGGGAATATCTATTTTCTTATTTAAAAAAGTAACAGAATTATTTGTTTATTTGCATTTTTTATGCATTTCTAATATTGCATAACAAAAGGCTTAAGAGGTTAAAAGAAAAATCTGCAGAATTTTTGTAATCTTAATGAATAATCATCAGAACAATCGATTAATAAAACAATCAGTTGCAGTCTTAATCTATATCCTCACAAATCAAAGTATCTAAGATGTTTGTTCTAACATCTAACGTCTCCTATCTGGTTCCATTTTGCTTTTAAGTTAGTCTCAACTCTATCTTAAGTCTTGTTCCGTACGGTACAACTTTTTAAAAATTAATTAAGGACGTTCTTTAGGCAAAAGGGTGTCCTACTCAGGACTAGGTGTATCTAATAAAGTGGCCGGTGAGTTCCAGTTGACCCTTCATTCTTCCTCTTACCTCTACATCTTTGTAACTTGACGATCCTACACAGAGGAGCGCTTAAGGTTGCAAATGCAAACGCGCCTGCAGAGATCCAGCAGGACGGACCTCACAGTGGCCAGCTTGTCCACAACTTAAACTATTAGGAGCCTGTTCTGCTAACTTCATAGCTGCCGAGACCGTGCACTTAAAAAAAATTAAAAAAAAAGATTAAAGATCTACAGTTCACATCCCTGAGTTTCCTCATTATGAACGCCGAGCCGTAAAGTTTGAGAGGGGACTTTACACCCGTGTTTAAGGCCAGAAATGGACGACTGAACTTCCTGCACATAATTATCACATTTCAGGTTGTAAAAGGTTTTATTAACTCACTTTGATATTTTTGGTGTGCAAAGTGTCAAAGTTAGTTTTAAAGGTAGTCGTTTCATGCGTAGGACAGGCTGTAAACGAGGAACATTTCACGGTTCGTCATTCGATACATGATGAAAGTGCAGAATAATAAAAAGAGAAAAACAGAAACGGTCAAAACGTCAAAGCCATTCATGTCACCAAAAGCAAGAAATAATAATTTGAGGTACTTTTTTTTTTATAGCAGCCTCAAATAGTCCCAAGCTCAGCAGAACAAAATAAATTCTGCTCTTGCATGATAAAAAGGCTTTGATTTGAATTTTATTATAGACTATAACCTCCCTGAGTGGCAACGTCTGTTAGGGAACCTAAACACGCTCCGGCAGATGACTTTTTTGTTTTTTGCCGGAACTTTGGTTTACAGCCTCCCACGAGTGAAAAAACACAGTCAGGCTTTCTGAAGACATTATTGCAATAATTCCTGGGTTCCTGTGTGCACATCAAACGCTCCGTCCTATTTAATTCCCGTGCCTTGTAAAAACATAAAGAACACATATGCCAGGAAAGCCACGGGGGATTCAATTAAGACGCGAGAGGACGGGCACGGCCGCGCCCGCAAACGGAGCGGAGCGTGTACCGTGAGAGTGGAGTCGCTCGTGAAACGCATCAGCAGCGGCAATGAACGCCGTAACCCAATAGCCCATATATCCACAGACCCACTTTGGAATTCCAAGCTTAACGAGTCACTTTGCTGTTTTTAGAGCTGGAGTTGGAGGGAGGTTACAGAATTCGGAGCTGCTGGTCAGTGTGTCAGACTATTTCTGCTGTTCAAGAGGTCAAGGCCACGTTCGTGTCTTTGGTTCTTTGTAGGACGAAACTACGTTGAACAAATGAAAGTTGAAGACATTTTGCTTGAGTAGTTGAAACGTTATTTCACAATTAGACATTTAGTTCAAATAGAAGTTCTTTTGACCAGCTTAAAGTAACACATAACTTCTAGCTATGTAATTATGTTAGAAACACATGTTTTTTTGCAACAATATGAAAACTAATGGGCAGCGTGGTTATGTTTGTGTGATCAGGAGCTTCCTGCATGACTTTTTTTATTTTGTCTTTTTTTCATTAAACAATCCAGACTTCATTTCAGCATTACATGAGCTAAAGTTTGTTCTTGAGACTCAAGTCCCAGACTTCAAATGGTCTGAGTGAAATCTTATGCTTGTTTTCCTTTAGAGCAGCTTGAATCGTCATATGCACTTTTCTTACAACATGCTCTAGACATGTTGTGATGGTCTTATTTTATATTCTAATCACTTTAAATTAACTCTGTGCAACAGGTGTAATTTGGCCCATATTACATCATGAGATGCTGGGTATCCTAAAGAGACGATACACAGAAAGCCTGGTGACTTTCTTGTGTTGTACACAAATCCCTAAAGGACTTAACTACATTGGCATTTTACCTTTCCATTACCGTTAGGTTCTGTATCTGATGTTAACTGATGGCAACCAGGTTTCTGGAAATGCAGGCACTTTGAAGGTGCAGACAATGGATCACAAATGATTGGGTTGGTAAATTTAAATGCCTAAATTTAAAGTGTAGCACCACACACTTTCATCTGCGCTTCATTCAATAAAAACATTAGAAAGGTCTTAAATGTTGAGTCGTTCGCCTTACCTTCTGCTGAGAGCCCTTGGACATTCACTCCTCTGGCGTCCAAGAAACTGAGACAGGCATCCACATTCTCGATCTAGAGAGAAGACAGCAGACAGTCAGCATGAAGGACGGAGCGCAGTGAGAATGCAATGACACTTAACATTCATTGAGCCGAAATGTCTCGAGGCACGGGGCTGAGAGGAAGGGGTAGATCAGCAATATTACCCATAAAGAACATCATTGTGTGGCTCCTACAGACCCCCGCACGACCCACTGACCCGGCTGCATGACATACTGACCGCAGTGTGCTACCACCTACACAGCCACATGCTGACTGTGTACGCACTCAGCTAAATGCACACAGATATCCACGCAAACATCTATGAAGTTTGAACGGAGGTAAGAGCCTGTGGCCTATCTGAGACTTTGCACAACCTCACGCAAAACATTCAGCCTCTGCTTTCTGACGGCTCCGTATAGGCGCCCTGCGGTTACGGATATTAGGGGGGATTTTTGCCTCGGCTGACAGCGACTAGCAGGCGGCTTCATTAGCATTGCAACCGGCAGCCAGCGCCGACCCACAGGAGGTCTTTTATGACGAGGTTGAAGGTCACGGCGCTCTGTTTCAGCGCAGCGTGTCAGGGACACAACGCAGACCGGGCTGGGCGACTCAGCGAGACGTCCAGAAGGCAATGATGATTCACGAGACTCAACTCCCCCCCCCAATCACTCCCTCCCTGCTTTGTGTTGCCCGCTCAGCGCCCAAATCCATCTTTAATAATCAGATTAAGTCTCAGTAGAACCGAGAGAATGAACTTATATCTGACTGCAAACCACTTTTCTCTTACTGAAGGTTCAATTCTATCCTCTTTTGTGACCTAATGATCTGTTTTTCTGCTATAAACAGAAAAACAGAGAGTGACAAACTGAATGAAGTAGATCTGGAGATCTACTTCAGTTGGTCATCAACTGTTTAAACATAATTTAAAATAATTTTTAGGGATGCACCAATATAATAATTTGGGCTGATACTGATATTAGCTCTGCTGTTATGGTCAACAACAGATATTTACCAATACAAACAGTATATATTGGAAACATGCCACATGGTCTGGACAGTTCTTACTAGACATTTAAAAAGAAATGACTAAACATCAGTTGATACTGATGTTAATGCCAATATATTGTGCATACCTAAAAGTACAATTATTCTGAAATTAACCTAATTATGATGACAGTTCAGGACAACAGAGCAACTAAAAATGTTATTCAATCTGGGCTTTTTTTTTTTCACACAAACTTGCACTATGGATTTATGCTAGCTAAATGACCAAGAGCAAACAGATTAGATGTTTTGATGTATACTACATCAAATAAATTCAAAGATATTTTTTCTGGTTCAGTTTTATAAGATACACAAAAGCTTGATTTCTGCCCGAGTTGTTGAATTAAGAAACTAATAGAACTTTTCTGACAGCATGAAGGAGGATTTGATTCCCAGTTAGGAGTACAGAATATATATATCTATGTGTGTATATAAAAAGACGGTGACATCAGAGCAGAAGTGACCATCCTGACAGTTGAACCCTTTAAATTCCTCACTCTTGATCCAAACATTGCACCCTATTTAAAGGAGGAGCATGTTACAAGGGGCACACATACTTCTTTCTTTCCTCGACACACATTTTAAATACATGACAGAACTTGAAATCCCTGAAATTCCACTTTGGGTTCTTATTCCAAATGGTAACTTGAGAAATTATAATAATAAACCTCTGGGTGACCTCCCGTAGATTAAAGAACATTACTTTAAAGGTTTGCTTGGGTACAAAACAAATTTGGTTAGGGTTAAGGCTAACCCTAACCTAACTGTTGTTAGGCTAACCGAAACAACAAAACTATGAAATAGCAATGAAATTACCCCATTTCCCACTAAATGCTGGTCTGAGCCGGCTACATCAACGAGCCGACAACAACCCAGGCATCCACACACACACACACACAGACTTTCTCCATCTGCCGAACAAAAATCACCACCTCACCGCACATTTTTTCCTCACCGTCAGGCACCAAATAACCTTATATGTGGGTTCCCCTAGTCTCTGCCCACACACCACACACACGGCCTGACACATGTGTGCCCTGGTGTCTTCCTGTTTGATTAACCCACACACTCGCTCTGAAGTTTTGTATGTGGAAAGACATGTGCCGAGCAGCAATCGGGACCACTTCATTGCTTTGGGTTTCATTAGACTCAGCGAGAACATCGAGTCCGGTGCTGGTGTTGGCTAAACCGAACAGCCACAAGTTGGTGGAAAAGGTGTTTAATGAAAACCTCTTCAGTCAAAGCAGGCGTTATTACAGACAAACCCAATAGGGCAAATTTAATGAAGCGCACACAAACAAAGAGCAGAAGCACCTCATGACTCCTCCGCAGTCAGTGTGTGTTTGAAGCTTGATTTAATTGCTGATTAAGACACGTATAAAGGGCTGAACTCATAAACACGCAATAAATCGCCTCAGCCAAAGCTGTCAGGCTTTTAAAGACAACCTACATCACTGAACAAACACGCATCGTCTTCCACCGCTGCAGACGCTTCAATGTGGTCTTCACATAAAACCACTGTTTGTTTTCGAGCGGCATTAATGTTATAATGATGAAATATCGTCTGAAAGCGTCAACGATGGTTAGGTCATTAATGTTCTGCAGGATTTGGGTGATGTTTAAACGGCAGGGCTTTGTGGCCTCCTGTTACAGAAACCATTTAGTTGTTTAGTTTTCCGACACGGGCCGGCATCAAACGCATCTACAGATGTCATCAATGGCAAATTTGGAGAGAGGACTGATATCAAATGCTGAGGAAAAGTACCATCAAAGACATGTTGGATCTTTGTATAAATGTGTCTTACTAAAAAAAAACAAACCCTCACATTTCAGAATGTGTGAATAGAGCAACTATCGGATAAAGACGATTGGGACATTAATTTAAGATAGCAGGAAAAAAAAAGCTGAACTGTCAAAGTCACCAAAATACTGATAAAGCGCCGTCTCCTCTCATTCTCGTGAACCTAACGTCATCCAAGTAAGGACAAAATAAATACTCAGACTAGTAAAAGGAATAAAGCAGTGTAAAACTGAAAATATTGAAACAATTGGTATAATGCCAATCATTCTGGAATCATGTCTATTACGCCATAGGAATGAACTGATATTATGATCTGTTGGTAAAGGTGCAAAGTGAAAGCCAACAGAAAACATGATAAATGAAACATTTTTGATGTGTGTTGTTTTGAATGATGGCGCTCATCAAATTGTCATGTTTCTTACTGGTTTTCTCAACTGTTGACATTATGGTGTCTTTTATATGACTTTGTATTTTTATACCTTGTTGCTGAAATGTGTCATTCAAATAAGTCTGATTGGTTAATTGATTGGATCTACAGTAAATATGTATGTTTGAATCGTAGCTAAAATTTGGAGAGACAAGTTTAACAGTGACCCTCCGACTTACCCTGAACTGCATGTCTAATAATTAGAGAATCTAATCCAGGAATCTCCTAGCATAATAAGGTAATATTATGGTAGGAGGCATGTTTCCCTGCCATAAAAAGGTTGGATTCTGCTAACTTTAAACTACACAGCGAAACATTGGTCTCACCAATCATTACCATATTAAATAACCATCTCATATATGGGTTTGGGTTCAAATGATATTTCAACCCTCTGCTCTCTCTTTCCACTTCAGTAAGAGTTGCCAAACGACAAAATGAGGTTCCAGATCCATCTGCTTAATACCATCTCTCCCATCCTTGTGTTAAAAAAAAAAAAAAAAAAGAAAGAAAACAAGAAGAAGCGGTGCTGCGGTTGGTCGGGCCTCCCTAAAGATATCGAGTGACATGTGTAAGATGAATGGAACTGGAATGGGTTATCCCTAAGATGCAGCTGTCAGAAACAAATAGGCCAACACCTCAATTACCACTAAATATGGAGGGGAAAACAAGCTTCTTGAAGACAGGGCTGGAAAAACCACAGAATGATGCTGAATAATTGAAGGGTTGTGCTCAAAACGCTGCATAGTCACTGGAAAATACGTGCCACCTTAAATCCATAATTCACTCTTCCAAAATCCCGCACGATTCAATGTTTCATGAGTGCGACTATTTAGCGAGAAAGTCTCCGGGTGTTTTCTTTTTTTTTTTCCCTCTGACTTTAGAGATTATTTTCACATTTACTGTCATGATGATTGAATCAGTTTTCAAACATGCGAGCAGAGCATAAATCTTCTCCTGACTGGAGCCTGAGTCAGAGAATCTGAGGTCTGTCACAAAAGAGTCTTTTGTGCGGAAGCCACACCAGCAAAGAGCTCATTGGCTTTCGCAGCAACTCTTTACAGCAACAGTGAACTTTTATTTAGCTGGAGGTGGAAATCAAAGTCTGGCGATGAGTCAGGCAAAATAAATCCTGCACATACAAACCAGTGAATCATCTGAAGCATCCCCTCCTCCCCCTTGCAAATAAAAAAATCAATACAGACCAAAGATACAAAATATGAGCTGCTGCTGCAGAAATCGATGCATCAAAATGCCATTTTGTCCCTCAGTCAGTGTGCGCTGAAGAATGTTGGTACAAATGTACATTTTCAGCCAAATAATTCCACATAATCACATTTAAAACATGCATTAGTACCGAACATCAAAGGGAAAATGGGCAGCAACGACCACCTAGAAGTGTCCGACCCACAAACTGTAGTGTACTTTATTCATATTTGATCAAAACTGCTCCAAGCAGACTGTTTGAGGTATTCTGGAAGGAAAAAATTGGAAGAGGTATATTCATAAATGCTTGACAGTGAAACTGCATTGAAAGTGGTTCTAGACAGTATCGACTCAGAGGGGTTGAACACCAACAAACACTAACATACACCACACTTTTACCAATTCTGCTAGTGTAAATATGTTGAAAATGATTTTTTTGGACATATTAATAGTAAGAAAGTCAGTGTAATAAAACACAGCTGCTAAGAAACCTTGAAATTGGATCATTTATACAAATGTAAGTAAAGAATCTGCTGTCTGAAGCCCAGTGCAAATGAT